AAAGCGAGACACTGAGCAGCAGAGCCATAACAAAATAGGTCTCCTCTTGGGACTTCTTTTCTCCTTTGCAGACCTACTTTGCGGAGGCATAAACACTCAGACCATAATTGATTCAGTATTCGAAACATATAGGCAAGCACTAAGTTAATTGAAGGCAAACTCGGAAGTCGGGGCTAGAGCTTATTGAAAAATGTAAAAACCACTGAGGCGTTTTACACTCTCCAAATATCAAGATCAGAGAGAGTTAATTAGCAGTTATTCCTTTGGGCTGATCTTTATAGCTTTATACCCTTGGGCTTCTCAGAGGAATCAACCCCTTGTTAATATTTCCTCTAGTAATATCCCAGAGGGGGCGGCAGAAAAATGAGAACCATTTTTTTGGTGTCTGGGTAAGAGCAGACTTTCTTCTGCTGTGCTGAAATAGGAATCTAAGTGGCCAAAACATGAATACATTGTGAGGGGAAACCCCACCAAAATTGCAAGAAGACAGGCCTACTGGCTCCAGTTTCAAACCCACTGACATGTAAAGAAGCAATAGATTAGTGTAGACTCAACCTGGGGTACTTGTGACTTGCAAATATCAGCATGGTCCCTCATAAAGATCCCCTGCAGGCATGTCCACAGTGTCTATACTTTATTTTTATTTATTAATTCCCACAACATGTTCAAGAAATCCAGGGCAATATATATGGTTCTCTCCCCAACCCATTTTGTCTTCCTAACAACCCTGTGTGGTAGGTTAGGTTGAAAGCTGGTGACTGGCTCAAGGTAGCCTGGCAAGCTCCATGGAGGAGCAGGAATCTGAACTTGGTTTTCGCCCAGCCCTGTGCTTTCACTACTATACTCTGGTGGGCTTTAATGATGGGGAAACAATTGCTTTGTTCATATTCCAACCTGGGATGTCATGGTCCCAGAACAGGAATACTCAGATATAGAGTCTTCCAACAGCAGGTGCCATGAGGAGAAGACAGATCCATTCCCTTGTCCTGCCTCTGTGGATACGCTGACCCTGAAGACTGCATCTTGTACCCTGAACCTTGTGGAAACACTTCTCCAAGGATTGGACCACATGCTCCTTGGATCAGGGGCGTTAATCTTGACTACCGAGCCTGAATTATAAAGCTCTGTCAATTGCTCCAGGACAGTGCTGTGACAACATGCTCTCTCTGCCTCATCTGCAGAACTGCTAACCATGGTCCTTGTCCAAGGTCCTGACCTTTATCTTTACCTACCATCCTATTCCAGAGTCTGGTGTCTACTGGTCTTTACCTTGCTTAGGCCAGTGCCTTAGCTTGGTGGACATCAAATTGATTAGAACAGAGGACTTACAACTGCGCCTTGCACCTGTCTACTTATATAGTCTGTCCGTTTATATGGTCCCTACAGGTCATAGAATGTATGGAGTGTCAATGGCAGAGTAAATCCAGAAGCCCACAAGAACCTAAGCACAACAGTGCTCTCATCACTTGTGATTCCCAGCAAGTGGTATTTAGAAGGATACTGCCTCCAACTTTGGAGGTAGAACATAGCCATGGAGGCAAGTAGCCACTGAGAGCCTTCCCCCTTCATGAATTTATCTAATTCTCTTTCAAAGCCATCCAAATTGGTGGCCATCACTGCATCTTGTGGGAACAAAAATTCCATGCCTTGTGTGAAAAAGTACTTCGTTTTGTCCATCCTGAATCTTGTTTTTAATTTCTCTGTGCTTTTAACTTCTTTTTCACTTTTTTTGTGACTTTATTGTTGTGAACCTATTTGATATATGTTTATGATGCAGCAGTATATAAACGTTTTTTATAGAGAAAGAAAGAAAATTAAAATAAATCTTCTAGCATTCTGCTTCATTGGTTGCCCTCGAGTTCTGGTGTTAAATAAACAGTTTCCTTTCAACAGTATAAAATCAATATTAATTTATATCGATAATATAGATTTATATCAAGTATTTAAAAGGAGAGTGATAAAATAATAGTTTCCTTTTTGGAAATGTATGGATGACTGCGAGACAAAATGAGAGCCTTTCTCTATCATCATTATCCTTATCATCATCATCACCGTCATCATCATCACCTTGGTGGTTCCCGACAGCTTTTCCTGCAGCCCAAGGGTTTTATCAGCCCAGGAAAGAGCCAGGAAAGGCCCAAGGGTCCTGGTCCTTACTATTAATACCTTCCATTGGTCCATCATTTGTTTCCTGTCTCCTTACACTTGTGGGGCTATAAAAAATAAAAATAAATCATTTTTACAATAATTGCTTGCTGCCAGTTCCAAGTCTCAAAGTCACTTTGGAGTCCTTGCGCTTTTCCAGGTGATTTGCAAAAGTGCCTAATTTCCTTTAATGCTTTTATTCCTGTTTACTTGTTGCCGAGGCCCATTACATGCATGCCTTCAAGGTGAGGGTGAGGGGTTTCCCCCCCCCCCATGAAGGACCATTGAGCCATGAATAAAGTCAAGGGCTGCATCTCATAAGAGGTGGAATAGAGCCAGATTCAATGGTGGGGGTTGAGCAGGAGCCAATAAATAGCCTGATTCGGAGCCAAAAGAGGATGGATGTTTGCAACACTGCAGGATTGCGGAATGCTCTCTTGCTTTCTGTCTCACCCCATCCCTCTGTGTGTATCATCCCACCTCTAACTCTATAATTATTATTATCATTTAAACTTATATACAGTGGAACCTTGGTTCTTGAACACCTTGGTACTCAAACATTTCGGCTCCCGAGTGTCGAAAACCCAGAAGTAAGTGTTCCGGTTTTTGAACGTTTTTTGAAAGCCGAATGTCCAATGTGGCTGTTGGCTATTGTTTCTGGGGCGCTTGCGCCAATCGGAAGCCATGCCTTGGTTTTCGAACGCTTTGGAAGTCAAACAGACTTCTGGAACAGATTACGTTCGAGAACCAAGGTACCACTGTACTGCCCTTCATCTAAAGATTGCAGGGCAGTTCTCAACATAAGAATACAAAAAACAAACAAACCATGAAATACATAATAAAACAAAAGCCAAACCAAACCAAACCGGTACTTCCCCCTCACCGCATTCTCACTTCCATCTCCGTCTCTATGGTTGGCATAATTTTTCTCCCTTGTGTGGAGTATACAGTAACATGGAATTGGGAGGGTTTTGTGTTCTGCAAAAGCATGGACTCCTCTGCTGAGACCTCTGGCTCCAATCCCCTTTCTCTGCCTTTTGACCTCTCCACCGGTGGAGAGGACAGCCTGCAACTTCCAGTGACCCTCCAGTCACCTTCTCTGGGAGCTTAAAATTGTTGCCCTAAATGTAATAGATTTAATAATTTTCAATACAGCTTGTGCGTTAGAAACAAAGCAATTGGAACAGACTTGTGGGGGAAAGGTTTGGCGGAAAGATTCAAATGACTGATAGAAGAGCAACTCAGAATGAGACCGAAATTAAAAATCCGAAAGAGGATATTAAGCAGCATAAGAAGCTATTCAGTAGGAAATGAAGAAAGCAAGAAAAATCTATAGTGACTATAGAAGAATTAATTAAGACTCTGGAAATGAGAATTGGTTTCTTGATGAACGTTGGACAATGAAAGCTAGGTTAAATCGTATAAAAATATTTTGTATGATGGAAAGGATGGAAGGAGACAATTGATTGCTATATTTGCATAAGTCGTTAATAGGAACGGCTGGCACAGATTTTAATAGTTGTATTGAAGTGTATTTAGTATTGCTTTAAAATACGCAAAAGAACCTTAATTACTTCGAGGTAGTAAGATAAAGTTTTATAGCACGTCAATAAGAGATCAAGTGGTGAACATTTTCAAGGAAGAAGACCCAGCAGCAGAAGAGGTCAGATCTGCCGCCTGAGGCAACTTGCCTCACCTTGCCTCATGTGGGGGCCGGCCCTGTCCTTTTGTGACATCAGAGGCGGTCCGTAGCTAATGGCAAGAGCTGGGGAGGCATCAGCACAACCCCCCCAGGCCTGTGGGGGCACCTCAGCAGTGATGTGTTCATTACTGAAAATATTTACAGCCCATCCTTCATGTGTACGGGAAGCGTATGTTAGTGAGAGAGAGGAACCATAAAACAAGATATTTTACCTTCCACTATCTGTCTCTGAAGAAAAAGAATGAACATGATAGATAGGTGCATTTATTTAGAAACAGAAGCTGGCTTGCACTTCAGCCCTGTAGCACCCCTGCAGCTGGATGTTGGGGAGGGGTCAGAGGCAGAGGGGAATAGTGGATATGACCCTTATCTTTGTAGGCTCTATCCTGGGTATGCAAAAGCCATAGCTTTCTACACCCTTCCACCTCTGATGAATAAAGATTGGGGATTTTGGAGATATCTGTAATACTCTGAATATTAAAGGACTCGTGTAATCATGTCAGAGCAATTTAAAAATTGACAAGAGAAAATGTTGGGCATATCATTTACGCAAGATGCGCAGTGACTTAAAAATATGAGGAGTACCTAATAAATACAAAATCAGGGAAAGACTCCCCACCCCCTCTCAGCAGATGTAAAGTCACGCAGAGTGATGATTTTTACTGAGGGATTAAAAATAATTTTATTCTGCGATAAAAAGATAACGATGGTTGGGTTTTACTTCTGAGCGGGAGCATTTGTGGAAAAATGTATGCCCTTGGAGTTGTGTATATTCTGCAAATAACGGTCAGGTTATTGCCAACAAAAATTTCAATTAGTTAATATAATTTACAGGAGCAGAGTTTAATAGCATCCTTTAATAGGCAGATCTAAAAGAAAGGCCTGATAAAATTTGTAATAGAGTGCCCATAGAATTTAAAGGGTGATTAAGAGTCTTATAGTTAAAGGATGTTTCACACAGAAAAGGGAGAAATGTTACTTTTTATCGTAATACTTTCAAGCCTTATGTTGCTCATAATTCACTCCAAAAATTGCAATAAAACATCAGAACGCCTTGATAGGCTGAAGAACATCATTTGTTCATTTATCTGGAGAAAACTCTCCCGAAATTTTAAAACGAGAACAATTTAATACAGTTAAAACAATCTAGAAACAGCATCAATGAAGGACCAGCACACACAAGAAATCTATAAAAGGTTGAGCAGAACAGAAATGTTTTGAAGGTTCATTGGGTGACCTTGAGCCACTCATACTTTCTCAGGCTAATCTTCCTCACAGGGTTGTGAGGAGAATATGGGGTGGCAGGAGAACAACGTATGCTGCCTTGGGCTCTGTGCAATGGCAGACCTTGGGGTCTCAAATTTCAGTGGTGTCCTGAGCAGTGCCAAAATTTGGTCGTTGTCCCCACCTTCCATTCTAGTCCGTGGTTGCGTTGCTCCCCTAAATCCGCCTCTGCTCTGTTGAAGAAAAAGGGATACAAATGTAGTAAGCAAAGAAATAAACCAGGAAAAGCAGGCACACACAAGGCCCTACTGTACTTCCTTCCTCAGAGAAGTCTAGAAATTTAATTACAGTACTTCCTCTAAAGTAGGCTTAAGATTATGCACCCTGAGAGCAGCAGCAGAATTCAAAGAAGGCAATTAAGCAACACAGTGGGGACATGGGCAGGTAGTCAGCTAAGATTTACTCAGAGTAAACCCACTGAAGTTAACGAAACTAACTTGGGCATGCATATTAATTTCAATGGGTTTGCTCTCAGCATAACTTAACTGAATACAACCCTTCCATTAGCACAAGGACTGCACTTTACACAGCGTTAGGGCTGCCATACGTTTCCCCCAGAAAAGCTGAACAACTTTGCCCAAAAGGCAAAGCATGTAATTCACACTGGTTGCCTGATCACAGCCTTCCCCACTATGGTAAGATGTTTCCTAAAATCATACTTGGAAGGGACCCTGAGGATCATCTAGTCCAACCTCCTACAATGCAGGAAAATGCAGCAGTCCCGTCTGGGGATTGAACCCGCAACCCTGGCATTATCAGCACCATGCTCTAACCTAAGGTTACCAGACGTCCCTGTTTCCCGGGGACAGTCCCCTGATTTACAAATCAGTCCCCTGACAAAATCCATCTATTTAGTAGGAAGTTGAAAAGTGTCCCCGGATTCATTGAAAAAAATCTGGTGACTTTACTCTAACCAGCTGAGCTAAGTGTGTTGTGTTTGTTCTTGATCTACAGTAATTATTTCCAAAATATCTGTTTATACAAATGCAGATGGTATTAAAATCTGAGTTTCCTTTTTGTCTTCCTGCTTTGGGTTCTATGTAAGTAGCCAGGCTCCCAGAATATGTCAATGCACGTTAAAAGCTTATAAATCACCTAGAGCAAAACTTGAGGCAGATCATTTGGTATGGAAGTTTCTGCTGATGTACATATTACTGGAGAAAAGGCATTAGAATCTTGCCCAGCATAAATTTAGTAAAGAATTATCCATGATAATTTAGATATCAAATGTTGATTTTCTGGAGCTGACAGCAGAAGCATATGGTGACTCTCTCTATCTCTCTGTTTCTGTCTGTCTTTCTCAACAGGTGGTTCTTTGTGGGGAACCTGTGGTCTTCTACTGAACTACTACTGCCATCCTCTCTGGCCAACTCTGGCTGGAGTTGATGGGAGGTTCCCCATCCCTGATGTAATTTCAGGGACGGCAAAAATAATTGTGCCCATGAATCCATTAGTCTTACTGTTGAGCTCTGGTGGAAGCCACTGAAAGGAAGAATGAGCACAAGCTGAGTTTTTTTTTTTAATCTACTAATGGAAAAGGGAATACTAATAGCAATTATAATCTAAAAGACCCGCCTTCAATACATTATTGATTCATACAGCTTGGGCAATAATAGGCCTTTTTAGAATTAGTGCACAAATGCGATTTTTATCACATTCGGTAGGCTAGTTTCTACACTCACACATCCATCTTCCATCCTGGCACATTACAGTGAGGCAGAAATTCTCAAGGGGAACAGGGGACAAACCAGGGCTGGTGATGGATGTGGCCTAAAGTGAGAGGGGGGAATTTCTGAGGCCAGATAAGAGAGACCACATCTGGCTCCTCAGTCTGAGGTTCCTCATCCCAAAAACAGGGTATCAGGACTATTTGAAGCATTCTATATATTGCCACTGATGCAAGTAGTTGCTAATAGTTGCTAACTGGAATAATTACAGCGTGAGACCAAAAACAGAAAAAGGAGAGTAAAACAAGTAGCTGTAATTACTAGGAGGGATAGTGAGACCGATCAAGCCCTGACTCAGAGTTTTATTCTGAGCTGTACACTTCCATCTAGATCTCTCTTTGTGCAGGATAATTAAATTCTCCCGCTGATGTGTGTTCACAGCTGAGACCAGGACCTAGGAGAAGAGAGTTCAATTCCCCACTCAGCCATGAAGCTCACTGGGTGACCTTGGGTCAGTGGCCACCTCTCAGCTTAACCTACCTCACTGGGGTGTTGTGGATATTAAAAGACGAGGGGAAGAAAGATATACATCAGCTTGAGATCATTGGGGGGGGGGATGGGATATACATGCATTAAATCATCATAGAATCATAGCGTTGTAGAGCTGGAAGGGACCAGAAGGGTAATAATAATAATAATAATAATAATAATAATAATAATAATAATTTATTATTTAAACCCCGTCCATCTGGCTGGGTTTCCTCAGCCACTCTGGGCGGCTTCCAACAAAATATTAAAATACAATAATCTATTAAACATTAAAAGCTTCCCTAAGCAGGGCTGCCTTCAGATGTCTTCTAAAAGTCTGGCAGTTGTTTTTCTCTTTGACATCTGGTGGGAGGGTGTTCCACAGGGCGGGTGCCACTACCGAAAAGGCCCTCTGCCTGGTTCCCTGTAACTTGGCTTCTCACAGCGAGGGAACCGCCAAAAGGCCCTCGGCACTGGACCTCAGTGTCCGGGCAGAATGATGGGGGTGGAGATGCTCTTTCAGATATACTGGACTGAGGCCATTTAGGGCTTTAAAGGTCAGCACCATCTAGTCCAACCCCCAGCAATGCATGAATCTTTTGCCCAAAATTGGCTCAAACCCACGACTGTGAGATTAAGAGTCTCATGCTCTCCCCACTGAGCATCCTCTTCCTCATCCTCCTCCCTGGAGGGCAGCTGCCAGTTAGTGTCAACTGTACTGAGCGAGAGGGACAAATGCTCTGACTAGGTGCAAGATCAAAATCTAAAGAGGCAATATGTAGGACAGCAAAAGCAGCAGAAGTCGGGATGCTAACAAGGGCAGGATCTGAGCAGTTGGCTGGCCAGTTACCAAGATAATGTGGAGGACAGAAGCTTGACATAACATGAAGAGACTCATTTCATAGCCAATCATGTTCTGGGATGTTTGACCAAAGGTAGTGAAATGCCAGGCACTTCTCACCATGTTTTCCAGCTCAGTGAGCAGGGTATAAGGTCTTTGCCTCCAGGATACAAAAGGCCTTCCTTCTACGTATTCCTGTAGGATTCAGACCTTGGCAACAAACAGTGATTTAAGCAATTGCTCTTTTATTGGAAGGAGATACTTCAGGACCTAGGCATTAAACCTAGTAGCCTAGTTATAAACCCACTTTTACAACGTCTCCTGCCTCTTGTAAATAAAAGCCATTTATTCGTTTCTCTCCCCAGAGCTGCAAGTTCATTGATAGCCGTGTGCTGTTAAAATAACCGTCGCTTCTCCAGACAAAGGTGACTGTTCCTGTGTTTATCTTTATATTCCTGCTGCTCTTCCTCCCGGGACTGTTCTGTATGTACGAACGTATAAAGATAGGTTTCGGTTTAACGTTTCCAACCGGAGTGTTTTGTAATGCAAAATGTTTTGCAGGCGCAATAAATTGACTGGGGCTGCCTCCCATATACCAGGTCACCGAATGCCATCTCACTGCTGCCTGTGAAGGGGCAATGGAGCGGGCAAAAAGCGAAGGTGCGCCATGGGGATGACTCATTCCCTCCTTTGCAATGGCTGCTGGCTTTTGCCTCCGCAGCTGGAGCAGAGAGAAAACTGCAGGAGTTTCCGTCTCTCCTCCAGATGTAGGGAATTTGCACTGAATGTGGATCGCCCAAAGAATTCCCCCTGAGCAGTGCAAGGGGGAGGGAGGTGGGGAGAGGGGGGAAAGAGTGCAAGACCGGAGGGGAGGGAGATTGAGAAAGGAGAAATGCCAAGACTTTTGCAGCTGACCTGCTTTCGTACTTGTTTATAGTTCTACGACATTGTGAGTTAGTTCAGAAGTCATGTTCAATACACATAGCCACTGCTCCTTTCTGGTATGCAAAGTGGCATCAGAGGTAATCGAAGGAGAAGAAGGCAAAGAGTCTTGAAGTAACAGAAAACCTGACGCATTTGCATGTATATTCCCCCCCCTTTTTTTTTTACTGTAGCCTCAATAATTTTTGTTAAGGGGTGGTCCAAGCCTTTTGTACTGGGCACCAGACCACCTGTCTCCCCTCCTTTTGCAGGGGGCGGGAATGTAAATATTATTTTTTAAAATTTGCACACCGGGCATGCTGCAAGCCCATCATCTTAATTTGCTCAGACTCAAATTTGTATCTATATGTACATATCAGCATAGTCAAATGATATGCAATTTTGTGGCCTGGGTCTGTTACATGTCTAGCATCACCTCTGGTTTAGGGTTTTTTCCTGTGTGATTTTTGGGCCCATAAGTGTTGCCTCTCATCCGAATATCTTTAGTCTCCTTATTCACTATCTTGGCTCCTTCTTTCACAGCGATTGCACACATGTGCCAAAACTAGTTTCTTTTGCTAAATTGCTACATTAAGCTGATATGTATAAAAAGGGGGGTGAGTGTGTCTAAAATTGCATTTTATTACAGTGGTGCCCCTGTTAAATATTTCCTAGATCTAAATCAGCCCTTGACAATAATAATAACACCCAATTTATTTATGTTACAGGTAGGTAGCCGTGTTGGTATGCCGTAGTCGAAAAAAATAAAAAATAAAAAAATTCCATCCAGCACCAATGACTAACTTAGTTGGTCTCTAAGGTGCTAATGGAAGGAATTTATTTTTTAATTTTGTTTTGATTTTATTTATGTGTTTGAGTTGTTGAAACTGTTTTTAACACTGTGTTTTAATGGCTGTAACCCTCCCCTGGGACCACAGGGTGAGGGAGGGTAATTTATAATAATTTCTAAACATGTAGCAATTTTTTACCACACTCGAGAAAGAAGTTTAATGGCATTTGGGACCATTTTCTAAAACTTAATGAAAACTAGCAAGAAGCTGTTTACTGTTTATCAGCTCATTAACCAGCCCAGGTAGCTGTGCACTTAATGTGCAATCAATAGCAGGTAATGATTATGTCCAGGCTGTCGAATTCCAGAGCAGTTGTGTTAAATCTGGTAAGCAAACACACAAGAAAATAGTTAAATACGGTACGCAAACACTCAAGAAAATAGTCCTGTGGAAATGCACATAGAAGATAAACTTTTGCATTTACAGAACATCCATTGCACATTTAAAGCACCTGATTTCCCCCATAGAAATCTGTGATATGCAGTTTCCCACTCACAGAACAACAAACTCCCAGCACCCTGAACAAACTTTAGTCCCCATGCTTCTTTGGGAGAAATCCTGTGCTTTAACTGTGCAAAGGATGTGCTCTAAACTCATGCCTAAATATGGTAACCATACTGTGCACTTTAGCTGTGCAGGACTATGGTCACAACATAGAATTGACATTAACAGCATTATTAATGCTTTCCTAATTATAGAATTGACATTAAAACTAATCATAAACGATGCACATCTTTCGCCTGCCCTATGGATAGAACTCACTGCATATGTGACTCTGTGCGCCCAGAGAGGATCTGCACTGGGTTTTGCTGAATTTTCTCAGGCATTCCTGTGCTCATTTACTCATGTTCGATTCTCTCCAGGACTCTGGTGTGTTGGCTGCTCCCACAAGGAGCATAAACACGGACAGTGGTATGGACCCAGAGGGCTCTGTGGGAGAGGGAGGTGTCAGATCATGCTGATTGTCAATACAAGTCAATACCACTCATCAACCTTAAGGGCCAAATGATGTAGATCCAATTGTCTTCTGGCCTTCATACTAAGGTAGTACAGCAATTGGTACCCTCCTTCCCCCAAACCATGGTGCATAATACGGGAAGCTGGTTGAGTTATGAGGCAGAAAATCCCTTTTCGGGGAATATAAATACAACAATAGTAAAGTAAGGGAGCAATACTGACTATGGGAAGCCAGAGTAATTTATGTCAGTTTAAGACAGCGTCAAGTATGACAGATCCAAACCCTGCTCAGGAGCAGAGCTACTTCCAGCTAAGGTGACAGAAGAAAAATGAGCCCTTAAAACAGTGTTGACTTACACCACTCTTTTCATAGAATCATAAATGGAAGGGGATTCCTAAGGGCATCTAGTCTGACCCCGTGCAATGCAGGAATCTCCACTAAAGCATCCATGACAGATGACCATCCAACCTCTGCTTTAAAGCCTCCAAGGAAGGAGAGTCCATCACCTTCAGAGGGAGTTCATTCCATTGTCGAACAGCTCTTACCCTCAGATGTTTAGTTGGAATCTCCTTTCTTGTAACTTGAAGCTATTGGTTCGAGTCCTACCTTCCAGAGCAGGAGAAAACAAACTGGCTCCATCTTCCAGCCCTTGAGGTATTTGAAGATGGCTGTCATATCTCCTCTCAATCTCCTCTTTTCCAGGCTTCTTCGCTGGTTTAAGCTTCCCCAGGTTCACAGGTCATGTGCCTGAGCTGAACAGAGCTAGGATCCAGCATAAGTCCCCCTTGCCCGGTCCCCCCCACACCCCTGAAATGCCCTTTTCTTGGGATTTACACTGGCCTTGGCTGCAGTGAACCAGGATGAAGGACTTACACCGGTGTATCCCTTCATTTCTCTAGGGCTTGCACAGGTAAACTTCTCACTGTGCCTTACACCCCCATCATCTCCACCCCCATTGTTCTGCCTGGACACTGAGGCCCAGCTCTGAGGGCCTTCTGGCAGTTCCCTCCCTGTGAGGAGCCAGGCAGAGGGCCTTCTCGGTAGTGGCACCCGCCCTGTGGAACGCCCTCCCACCAGATGTCAAAGAGAAAAACAACTACCAGACTTTTAGAAGACATCTGAAGGCAGCCCTGTTTAGGGAAGCTTTTAATGTTTAACAGACTATTGTATTTTAATATATTGTTGGAAGCCGCCCAGAGTGGCTGGGGAAACCCAGCCAGATGGGCGGGTTATAAATAATAAATTATTATTATATTATTATTACAAGTCTAGTATGAGGCGGAGAACTTTTTCCAAACCAAGGGCCACATTTTCTTCCAGGCAAACTCCGAGGGCCACATGCCAGAGGCAAAACTAACAGAACAATAAATATGAACTCTCTTCCTTTCCTTTGTTTATATTTTACATTTTTACAGCAGGCTAGTTTCTTCATTGGTACATCCCTCTCTAGTCTTCACCCAGGCAAGCAAGACACATTATCAGTGCTCGAAGAAAATATGGAGGGAAAATGTAAAGCAGGGGTGCTGTGCGGTGTTGCTCAAGGTGTGTGAGGGCCAGTTAAAAATGCCTCAAGGACCACATGTGCCCCCTGGGGCTGAGGTGCCTCATCCCTGACATTGTAATTAACATAGTGAATGTTTTCACTTGGCCAAAAGGTTGAGAAAACAGATATTCTCCAGACTGATGGGAGGGGGAAGCATTGATTTCAGCACCACATTACAGTCACACATATCTTCTATTGATCTCACCTTGATGTAATAGCGAAACCCAATTTGACAGAAGGGCAATTTCTATTCTCTCTCTGTCTCTCTCTAGGGGCACACACTTAACTCATCAAAGTAGAGTCTCCTGTGAATTAAAGTAACACCTAATCTGGGATGCTTCCTTTAAACACCATTCAGCAGTTCCCATTAGGACAAATCTTCTCCCCTGTAACAAGACTGCCTGGAAAAGATAGATCAGGAAATGAAACCAATCCCACACAAACCTTTTAGAAAAGGACGCTGACTTAAATGCACTTAAAATGCAGCCCGTTCTTCTCATGTCTCCTAGGGCAGAGAAATCTTGAAATCTGTGCCCATAATTAGTTCCACATAACACAACCACTCAGGTGAATTCACTTGCATTTACTTCTTGGCTTCCAGGCTGCTGATCCATCCATTCCTTATTACCATTAAAAAATAAAAAATAAACAGCTTTTTGCTTCATGTCACAGCAGAAAGGAATCTCTTCCTTCCACCTCTGAGGTCTAAAAAGCTCTTCGCTGTCCTTGATGGACCCAATATGCAAACACATCTCAACTGGTTTCCAAATAGATTTTGGGGCAGGGAAATAATTTGGGGGGGTGGCATTAAGTGATATGAGTTAAGGAAAATGCATTATTTAATCACATGCTCTTTTTTTAAAAAAAAAGTGAAAAATGTGGAACAGACTCCTTTGGGAGGTTGTGGACTCTCCTTTGGAGATTTTTAAGCAGAGGTTGGATGGCCATCTGTCATGGATGCTTTAGTTGCTGTTCCTGTATTGCAGGAGGTTGGACTAAATGACTCTTGGGGTCCCTTCCAAGTCTATGATTCTATCATTCTATGATTCCCTGCATCTGAGCAATGTGCCCCAAGGAAAGCTTTGCTGGATCAGGTTGTTGTAGAAAAATTGGGGGTTGGTTTTTGCTGCCCAGCTGCTCAAGGGACTCCGAGTCTTCTAAGTCCATGATCGGTCAGAAAAGAATATACAAATAGGATTTGTATTGGGAAAGGTGTCCAAGTATTACTTTCTGCTGGGAAAATATTTAGAGTAATTAGGAGAGCAAAGGTGGCTTTTGAAGGATTGTTGTGTGTGCTAAAATAATGTGTAATCTTCTCAAGAAATATTTCCTAAATTTCGAAGGGTGAAGGGTTGGTTTTCTGTGGAGTGTGTGTCTTCTGTGCATGTGTAAACTTTTATAACAAGATCAAAGGTCTGTCTAATCCCACATCCTGTCTCTCAGTCTTCTGACAGATGCTTCTGGGTCACCATCAAGGAGTCATGGAGGCAACAGGCCTCTCCTGCTGTTGGCTTGTAGCAACTCGTATTTGGTGGCATTCTGCTTCCAAACATGGCTGCAGAACTGCCTTGGCTAATAGCCATCAATGAAGCTTATTCCCCATGAATCTTCCAGATGCCCTTTTACAGCTAGCTGCCTAAGCTAGTAGCTTCTTGTGGCAGCAAGCGCATGAATTAATGATGCGCTCTGTGAAGAAGTGCTTCCGCTTGTCTCTTCTGAATCTACTGCCAACCCGTTTCACAAGATGATCCAGAGCACTACTGTTATGAGACGCGCAGGAAAAGCTTCTATCCACTTTCTCTACCGTGTATACCATGTCCCAGCTCAGCTGTATCTCCCCTCCCTAAACTAAGAAGTCCCAAACACCCCTTTTCCCAAAGTAAAGCTGATCCAGCCCCCTCCCCCCAATGTGCATTCAGCAAAACAGCATAGGACGACTTGCAGCACCTTAAAGAGTAAAAAAATTATGGCGGCATAAGGTTTAGTGATCTCAAGCCCACTTTGTCAGGTGCATGAAATGAAATCTAGCTGGATATAAAGGAGAAAATAGTAAGGTGGGAGTTGAATGGCAATGAGATGCAAAAGTTACTGCCAGTGATAATTACAGTTTCAATGTCTGTTATGTAGTCACGCCCTTTACAGTAGCAGGTTTGCCAAGCATATATTCAGCTTTGCTGAGATGATAGGCTGAATATCTGATTCACTAGTCATTTGCATTACCCTTTTCTGCACATTTTCCAGCAGCTATGGTGGGGCAACCAGTTGATATTTTCATTCAGCTACTCACCATGACCTTACAATCACGTTCCAATTTAGTTACCACCCATTCAGCCCCTGCCTTAGATTCTTTCAGCTCCCAATGTACATCATTTCACATTTGCTTATAACAAACACCACATTGGTTTATGTAAACTTTTCTGTTGGATCTGGAGTAAGCAGACACGTTTTCAAGATAGCTCCTGAAACTCCCAATTCACCATTTGCACAGAGGCTTGGTGAGGGCAGCAGGCACAGCACTGCCACCTACTCTTTTGGTGGAACTGGGTTGGGACGAGATAGAGGGCATGCCTGCCGGTTTGTGTGTGCGGTGGATGAGTCTGCATGTGTGAGGAGTGTGAGTTATGTGCAGGGCTGTTGTGCATGCAATCCTGTGTGCAAGAAAGAATGTGTGCGTGTTCAGTGGCATTTGGCCCTCACAGGATTGGCCACACTTAAATGTGGCACGAAAAGACGGCCACCCTGTGTTGCATTATTTTTTAAAAACCGTTCCACAAAGAGCTGGGTTCCACAAAGATGCGGATGTTTGGGAAACCACCCCAGCCACAAAAAATGCCTGGCCAGGGCAGCGATTTCAGGATTTAAAAGAACAAGTAGCTCAGTTGGTAGAGGCGTAGAGCATGAGACTCCTAATGGGTTTGAGACCCACAAGGGGTAAAAGGGTCCTACACTGTAGGGGGCTGCACTATAGGGCCGTCGTGGGCCCTTACAATTCTATAGTGCCTCTTTTTCTGCACCAAATCCCCGCGAAGCCAAGGCCAGGGTCGCGGGGCCTGTTGTCCGATTTCGTCTCCCAGGTCTCCCTTCCCTTCTTCCAGCTTTTGCCAAATCCCTTTTGTCTTAAGAGGGAGAACAAAGGGGAGGGGGGGCTTCCTCCCCCACCCCACCCCCCGCAGCTCCCTCTCGTCCTCCTCTCTCGTTCCTGCAGCCGACCTCCCCCTCCCTTGCAATTATCTGCGCCGGCTGCCTTCCCAATTCCCCTAACCGCTCTCTTCTCCGCTTCCTCTGATTTACGCTTAGGCGCACAAATCCCATCCCGGTTTGCCCAGAGGCTTCCCCAGCCACGCATCTCTCCTAATTAACTGCCTTCCCAATGGTCCCGGCGCTAGACGGCGGAGGCAGGGCTCCAAGGAGCACGGAGAAGGCTTCTCCCTCCTGAGTCTGCCTGCCTGCCTGCCTCTTTCGGTTGCAGGCCTCTCCGCTCGGGAGAGGACGAGGAGGAGCCTCCAGACCAGGCTCGGCGCGATCCCTTATCCCTGCGCTTGTTTGCCTCTTTCTGCCTCTGAGAAACAGAGCGCGAATTTGTGGACGGTGCCTAGCAGGCGGGCTGTCTCGCCTGGCGGCCGTCGGCGGCGTGGCGAACTGAGCTTCAAAAAGGCGCAGAATGGCAACTTTCGGCGTACAGCCGCCGGCGCTGGGGAGGTGTCCCTTTTGGATCGCCTGGCGCGGCGCAGCGCGCAGCGGCTGGAGGCGCCCCGGGCGCCGAGAAGAGGAGGGCGCGGGGCAGCAGCAGCAGCGGCGGCGCTAAAGGGCTGGCTCTCTCCGCTCCGGATCCGGGAGGAGGGAAGGAGAGGAGATCGGGCGCCTCCCGCCCAGCCGCACATGGCTCAGCCGGAGCGCGGGGCCAGATCGCGGGCGGCGCCTCCCCCTCCAGGCATGTGCGCGCCCAACTCTGCCCGGAGCCCCTGGCCAGGGCGCAGCGGCTGAACGGCTGTGCCTGGGAGAGGCACGCACCCGCGGCTCCCTGCGGGCACCTGTGCGGAGAGGTAGGTGGGACGCTAGCTGGGATCTTCGGGGGGAGGGCGGTGTAGAAATTTAATTAATAATAATAATAGCTGCTGTTAAGGGCGGAGGGTGGAAGGATCGGTCTTGCAATGGCGCGATCCTGGGCATGGTTGCTCGGAAGAAAGTGCTATTGGTCAGTGATGTTTACTCCCATGTAATTGGGTCTGAGGTTGAAGGCTGGGTCTTTCTCGTGCTGGGCGTGGTGCCCCCGAGGCTGAGTCTCTGCCCCACGCCCAAGTGAAGCTTGTTCGCCCAGAGGGAACCCGAAGATGTTCTATCTAGCCCAGAGCCTTTTTCGCCCCCTTCCCGAGATTGATTTGAGCCAAGGCTCAGTAGCACGCCCCCACTCCAATAACCCAATTTTAACTCCAGGGCTCAATGTGTCTGGTACAAGTCGTTATGAAGAGAGTGTTGTTGAGCATGTGCAGAGTGTTTGTTCCTCCTTAGCGAGGGCGGGGAGAAGCATCTCTCACATCTAGGTGGATTTAGAGTCCCGAGGTGGGATTTGCAGGCTGGTGTGTGCTTTCATTAGGATGTGATCTTGCCGGAGCTTTCCTAGTGGCAAATAGTGCGGTAGTAAGGTGAGATGAAACTGACAAAAGTGAATGTCCCTGAGCACACACAAAGTGATTTTTTTACTGCAGCTAGACTACTCACCACCTGGTATTAGGGAGGTGAAGCTTCCAAGTCAGACAGCTTTGCGTCCAAGCAGGTCTGCACCCCTGGAGATCTCATTTTGGGACTGACCACTGGAGATGATTTGCTTAATCTCTCTCTCCCATCTGATCCCAGGATCACCTGCTTTTTCTCCTGGGGGGGGGGGGCTTCAGCAAACTTTTAAGGTTGTGGAGGGAGGGAATGGCCTGCCACAAAGTGAGAGGCTCCATGCAACTAGTTGGCAGGAGCTTATTCCCTGTAGGGAATCCGCAAGCAGGCAAAGGTCAAGCCTCCTGTGTCCTTCCTTGGCATTCAACTTGGCACTGCCCCTTCCTCTCCTAAATGTAGTGGCCAACTCAGGGCCTTTATTGGCTATTAGAAGGCATTGGTGTAGGACCAGCTGGGAAAAACTAGATTCCCAGTGGACGACAAATATGATATGATTGCTGGTACAGGAATCTGGGAGGTCTGCGTTCAGCTCCATGCTTGGCAATGAAGCTCATTGGGCAACCCTGGGCCAGTTGCCATCCTTGCCCCTTAACAGACCTCACAGGGCTGTTGTGAGGGTTAAATATACAGAACCTTGAGCTCTTTAAGATGAAAAGTGGGATGAGCATCTAATAAGGCCCGTTAGTAGCCTGGCTTCAGGTGGTCCCATTCACATGCTCCAGAAAGCATCCTCACGTTTTGTACATATACCGTAATTCTCTCATCCCCTTGTTGGTATCTATCAAAGTGGAATTCCGGGAGGCTTTGGCAGTGGCTGGTTAGAAGATGCTCTCTGCAACAGCATTCTGCGTGAGGCTGCTGCTGAGAAGCAATCCAAGCGATGGGACATTGGGCTTGGCTGTGAGGAGTGAATGCTGAAATCCTTCCTCAGCCATGACCTTCACTGATGAGGGTTTGGGACAAGTAGTGATATTGGAGCATGTGTGGCTTTTGCGGTATCTTACGTATTGATTTTCAGTGCATCCTCATCTCCAATGTCACTGGTGCCCTTGAACAACCCACATAGATTCCCCATGGCCTGGGCCACCTTTCTGCAACCTGGAGCCCTCCAGATGTTTGCGGCGACAGCTCCCATCAGTCCCAGCAAGCGCCAGATTGGCAAAAGATGGCCTGCATTTTTGCACTGTGGTGTTTGTAGCATTGGCACATGAGACCATGCAGGAAAAACCTCATGCATGTGTTTCCAGGTCCTATTTCCCGGGTTCTCTTTTGTGCCAATGGACTGAAATAGATGTGCTGAAAGAACGTCCTGCGCAGGCAGCCTCCCACTACAAAAAGGGTTTTTCTATAAGTCTTCCCTGAGATAATGGTTGCAGAATGTTTATGGCAATTGCATAGACATGGTCTTGCAAATTTCTTCGTACCTGCGTCAAGTATCACACGGTTGCCCGAGTGGTGAGAAGGGGGAAAGATTCAGATGGCTCATCTGAGGTGTAGAGAAGGACAAAGCTGTAGGTATACTGAGTGCATTTTAATCTATATGCATGACTCAGTTGCTTGTTGTTGTGGCGAAGCGTGCAGAAGGAACACCTTGTTGCTTCTGTCTCATCTGCACCCTGCTGTGAGGGAGGGGTGGTGTGTGGTAAAAGGGGATTGCAGCAGGAAAATAGTATGCAAGGATTAAGAAGACCCATCTTGGCCCAATCCCTGCGCTGATCTTCCAGCAGCTGTGTGTTTTTATGTGTGTACCTTTAATGTTCTTTTTTCCCTCCCCCAAAAGAACTGCGTAACTGTGTGTCTGCCCGAAACACCTGGGAGCCAGCTGTGTCTGGAGTGGTGTTTGACGTAAAGAACTCTGGTTCATCAGATGCTGTCTGGTAGCAGCTTTACCTGTCCTTGGGAGTGACATTAAAATGCAAGAAACGTGTTTCCTGGTCTCTCGTTCCTCCTGGTCTCCTCTAATCTGCTTCATAAAGTGGTCTGATTGCTCTAGCTCAGGGCTGTTGGCTGCTGGGCTTGGGGTCTTCCATGAGGCCCTTGGGGTGAGATCTCCAATGTGGCCCAAGGCAATCTGTGCAAACCAGTTATTGAGACAGGAGTGCAAACATTTGGGCTGGGCTTGGTGGCCAGTCACTGTTTCTAGTGATGGCTTCCTGACCCCCAGAGGCAAGTTACACTGCATCCCTCATGTAAAGTGAAAAGTGGGGGGCTTAAAGGGGAACTGGTGGGTGACTGGCATGTGTACCTCATTCTAGTCAGCCCTTGAGACCGATACACTCTCACACTCACTGTATTTTTCGTTCTATAAGACGCACCCGACGATAAGACGCATCTAGTTTTAGAGGAGAACAAGAAAAAAATTATTCTTGCCCTCTCTGCTCAGCGTCTCTCCAGCAAAGTGAGAGGAGAAACAGAAGGGGCTCCATTTCTCCTGCCACTTCGCTGAAGGGGCGCTGCACAGCTTTCCCTCTCTGCGCAGCACCCCTTCAGCGAAGCGGCAGGAGAAGCGGAGCCCCTTCCATTTCTCCTCCCGCTTTGCTGAAGGGGCGCTGAGCAGAGAGAGAAAGCTGCGCAGCACCTCTCCAGCGAAGCGAAGCCAAGAGAGCAAGAGGGATTGGTGCGCACCGATCCCTCTTGCTCTCCTGGCTTCAGCGAAAGCTGCGCGGCCTGCATTCGCTCCATAAGACGCACACACATTTTCCCTAACGTTTTAGGAGGGGAAAAGTGCGTCTTATAGAGCGAAAAATACGGTATCTTCCCTTTGCTGTTAGTGACTTTTTGAAAACCAGTTCATTCTTTAGCGGAATAACACTAGATCTTTGCCTGTTGGTCTCTAGAATTAAGCTTGCGATTGCTACTGATGAACATATTTGAAGATCTCTGAATTGCACCAGCCTCAGAACTAGGAAATGAGGCTTTTACTAAAGCAGAAAGGGTGTTCTATTAATCCTCTCCTGCACCTCACTTGAAACAGCAATTCAAGTGCTCAGGATTGAGAAGAGGATGTAGTTGGCAATTTACCATTGTTTGCAAGCCACAAAGGGATGTGGAATACCATTTGCCAGAGAACAACAACACGCTCCTCTTAGGGTTTCCAGGAGGCATATGCCTGGTCTCTGTGGAACAAAATGCTTAACTGGATGGGCTTTTAGGGTTCTTCTTATGAATATGTGGTGTCCTTTGATCAGTGGGAAAGGAGAGATGTGCAGCAGAAATGTTTAGTCTGGCAGGACTGGGAGCCACACTTCCTAGCATTTAAAAGGTTTTTGGAGGCAAAGCAGCAGCATGTGGCTTAGAGGATGGGGACCTGGAGCTCCAGTCTGATGTTCTCAGAGGGAGGAGGAACTGGTATTGTTGGTGGCAGTGCTAGTGAAGAACTTCGGCATGCATGTAGAAAGGTGGTGTGTTAAAGGGATTTAAAAAAAGATTAAGCAGACCACAGGACTTACTGCTGTTCCCCTCCCCATCAAAAGAATATTTTATGAACATGAAGAAGTGGAAACCCACAAAATTGGCCAGAAATATAAGGATGAAGGTGACCTCCCAAGCACAGGATTTCCCTACTGGTTCATAAGGGAAAACATCAGTCATGGTCCTCCTTTGACCGCATTCCCTTGATCTCATGGCTAGAGAGATGTTGCTGAAACTCATAATTACCTGGCTTAGAAAACAGGTTGCCCTGCTTGTAATGAATGAATGCACTGCAAATCACAATTGCTGATTCATTTCAGCAGAGGTGAGCTTCCCATAACTAGCTGAGCTGTGGCGTTTCTGGCTTCCGTGGAGCCTCCTGAGTCTTTGCCTCCTCCTGCTGCAAAACATGAGGAAGTATGTGTGCGCTTCAAAAGTACACTTCAAAAATGTATTTCCATAGCAAGTCATTTATCATATTTCTTCCGTAGGTTCTTCCCAGGAGGATGTGGACAGCTTATTCCCATCCTTCATTAGTTAGCCAGGCTGAGGCTGGGCAGCTGTGTTATAAAACGGGTACATGTCTCACTGTCGGAAGGTGAGATCATGGCAACACTTCAAGTCAGGCTTTGGTAACCTGGTGTCTTCTGGAAGCTTTGGAAAAACATCTGGAGGGCACCAGGTTGGCGACAGCTGGTGGAAGGGTTGAGTGTATTAGGGGGAAAACAACAACCTCACAACTTTATCGTGCCAGTTTGAACAGCTTTCACCCTGTATGAGATCTATTGTGCTTCATTGGGCAAAGTGCTTGAGTGTGTGAAGCAGTTTCAAGGTTTCTTGAATCAGAATATTCTTTTCCAATCAAGTTCCAAGCCTTCTTTTGGAACTGAAAGTGCTGGTGGAAGCCCATCAACAAAGGTCCACCTCTCTGTGGCTTATGATACCATCAACTATTGTACCCTTCTGAATCACCTTGGTAGGATGTAGTGGCTCCATCCTCTCTTGATGAGTCAGTCCCAGAAAGTGGTGGTGGGAGACTGCATTTAGGATATGTGGTACTACATGTTCCATCTTGTTTCCTGTTCCCTTAACATACATGGATCTGCTGGGAAAGGCCGTTCAGGGATTTGGACCAGGATAGGACATCATCTGCTTGCAGATGACACTGAGCAACATCTCTTGTTTGCATCTTCTGATCCTAGGGAGGCAAGATTAGAAGCCCTGAATTGGTGTCATCTTTGGATTGGATGAGGTCAAACTGAAGCTTAACCACGCAAGACGGAGGTACTGTTGGTTGGGGGGTTCTAGTGGTCAATATGTTTCAGACAAGATTGCACCCTCCTCTCTCTGCCCTTTCCTACACAAAATGCAGCAGGTTTGCAGTTTGGGGAGTATCCCTGGATCAGGATCTGCTCCTTAAGCAGAATTGATAGTTGTGGCCAGTAGCGTGTATTACCAACTTGATATTTTATGCCAGCTATACTGGCAAAAGCACATCTGGCCTGTGTGTTCATGTCACCTCCAGGCTAGCTTCCTGCAGTGTCCTGTATGTGGAACTGTCCTTGAAGACTCTGGAAACTTCCATTGACTCAATGCAGCTGGCAGGATTCTGACTGGAGCTGTTCTACTGGATAATATTTTATCAATCTTTCACCAGCTGTGCTGGATACCATTCTGCTTCCAGACTCAGTTCAAGGGGCTGGTATTGACCTTTACAGCTCTAAATGGCCTGGCACTAGAATCTCAATTGCCTCCCACTGTTTGAATCTACCTTATTCTGCATCAAGAGGCCCTCAGTTAAACTCCCTGGTGTCAAAGGTACAGCAGGTGGAGACATGGATGATAACTTTGTAGTGGTGGTACCCAGTATCTAGAACAGCTTCCTAAAAGAGGTCAGTACACATAGTCTCCTCGGTGCCTACTTTTACATGTGAATCAAAGACTATTTTTTTTATCTCAATGAGCTTCTTTAGATCTCTCCAGCTGGTCAGTTTTAAAACCCTAGAGCTAGGCCAAAACATTCTGCCCTCCAGCTTTCGGACTCCAGCCAAACATGAATTTGAAAATGGCCCATGACACACTGGATGCTCTAGACCTGGGATGGAGAACGTGCAGTTTTCCAGATGTTGATGGACTACAACTCCCATAATTCCTGACCATTAGCCATACTGGCTGGGGCTGTTGGGAGTCCAGCAGGTTCTCCATCCATCTAATAGACAGATCACCAGTGAGAACCACCTTCAAAGGTCACCCAAGAGACCTATGCTGAAATTCCTTCAACCCACTTGAACTTTGGTTCTTTTAAAATACTCTGTCTTTTTGCCTTTGCTCCCTTTTATGCTTAGGTCTCCCTCTTACATTGCGTCACTTCCTCTGCAAAGCTTTGGCTCAACTACAACTTCACAACAGAAACATAGCCTAAGTCCTAGCCTGTTGGTCACTATTCAGGAATGATGGTTGTTGTAGTAGTCAAGCAACATCTGAAGGTTAGCTAAGTGGATACAGCTACGTTTAATCACTTTCATTCCTTGTCTGTCTTCTCTGCTCTCTTCCTTTCCCTTCCCGTGACTAAATTAAGACTCCCATCTCTCTTGGGGGAAGGGTTGGATATGGATATGCTTGGATATGCTTGGATATGGATATGCTTGGATATGCTTGGATATGCTTCTCTGTAAAGTTAGTTCCATGATGATACTATTTAAATATCGTCTGATGCATTGAAAATCAGGAGAAATTGTCAATTTGACAATCATGGCTTTGGCACACAGGTTTGGTTCTTCGTTGTCCCACCAGCAAATTCCTGTGCCTGTAAGATTGAAATTACCATTCTTTAAGGGGAGGGGAAAGAAATCCAATTATTAATGTTTGCTTCAATGAGAACATGGTCCATGCAAAAGTTAATCAAATAGCAATATTGCTGCTTTGTTTGTTCTTGCAGAAACGATCGTCTTGCTTTGCTCCTACGGAAGGAGTCTGTGTAGAAAAATGAATAGTGCAATTAAGCTCAGAGGCTGATCGCATACATCAGCTGTGTTGCTAGACCAGCACAGAATTTGGAAGTCTGCCCTTTATATGTTGATAACCACTTTTAAACATATAAACAAGTGAAGTTCAAGGATATAATTGCCGGTGATTTGTCCATTGCAACTGTGATTCCAGGACCTCTGCTTCAAGCAAGGTCTGCAGTTCTGTCACTGTAACTGATCTGTTTGAACAAAGAAAGGATTGCCTCTGCAAATGTACTGTATCCTCAATCTTCTCCATTCCTCCCAATTTCAATCTTGAATGGTTTGCAAACTCCCCACTCACAATAAACAAAACTGTTTGAGACAACATCCAGGTAATTACAAGTGGCTTCATGAAAAATGTTTAAGCCTTTGAGTCCCTTCCAACATTACAATTCTGTGATCTAAGCTAGTGGCCAACAAAGCTAGTTGCCAACAAAGGTCCGTATAGCTAAAGCCATGGTTTTCCCAGTAGTGATGCAGGGAAGTGAGAGCTGGACCATAAAGAAGGCTGATCACTGAAGAATTGATGCTTTTGAATTCTGGTGCTGGAGGAGACTCTTGAGAGTCCCATGGACTGCAAGAAGATCAAATGTATCCATTCTTAAGGAAATCAACCCTGAATGCTCACTGGAAGGACAGATCGTGAAGCTGAGGCTCCAATACTTTGGCCACCTCATGAGAAGAGAAGACTCCCTGGAAAAGACCCTGATGTTGGGAAAGATGGAGGGCACAAGGAGAAGGGGACGACAGAGGACGAGATGGTTGGAGAGTGTTCATGGAGCTACCAACATGAGTCTGACCAAACTGCGGGAGGCAGTAGAAGACAGGAGTGCCTGGCGTGCTCTGGTCCATGGGGTCACGAAGAGTTGGACACGACTAAACGACTAAACAACAACAACAACAAGCTAGTGGCTACCATGTTCCATGGCAGATGTCTGTCCCATCCTGAATACAGGAGAAGATAAAGACCCACACTGCAGGTGCCTGGTTGCTTGGTTAACTTTTCCACAAATGGAAATTAGACACAGGCGAGAAATTTTCTGAGTCATCAACACTCTTTTCTTTCTTCAAGGACCATGTGGTAGGTAATTAACTGCTGAAGGAGAACCCAAATATAGGAGTGTCTTCCTGAAGTTACTAGCCCAAATTCTTTCTGGATTTTACTGGCCAGAATGGAGAGCAGATTCAGAATCAGAATCAGATTAAGGACTTCTTCCAAGCACTTTGTTCACACCTAATGAAGCCAAAATGGAAAGTGATCCAAGACCTTTTTGTGCCACACATTGAAAACTATTATGCTACGTCAAATAGGCATGGCCCCCCCACCCCAAGAATCCTAGTAAATGTAGTTCATTAAGGGTGCTAGGAGTATATTCCTCACAGGGCTGCGGTTCTCAAAGTGGCAGAACATTCAATCAATCCCTCTTCCCAAGGAACTTTGGGAATTGTAACCATGACGTGGGAGTTTCAGATTCTTTGGGGGAAGCCCGAATGTTTAAATTGGTATGATACTGCTTTAAATGTACAATGCAGATGGGACCCAAGACAAAAATGACAAGAAGGCACATGCAACATCATGGGCTTAAGACTCAGTTTTGGATATGTTTTTGGTTTGTTTTAACGGTTTTGCTGTCCATATCAAGCCATGTTTATGGACTACATGCCAATAATTCAATCCTAAATTTCACATGTGGGAAACTGTGGCCCACGTGCAGGCTCATTTATTGTGGCTCTTGGTGTCTCCTGAAGCTGCCCCATCAGTCTGATTTCTTCATCCTTATTAATCATCTCCTTACAGTTCCTGGTTTTTCAAAACTGGTTCTACCCCTCTCTATTTTCTGAATAATTAGAAGGCACAATATTTTATTTGATAAACGTAAGTGGGTGGTTTTCTTTCTTTTTCTGCAGGTTGTATGGCCTTCCCACCCCCACCCCCCTGCCGTCTGAAGACAAAATAGTAGGCTTCCGCTCTGTATATGTGTGGCAAGATAACATCATAAAGGGATGCCTTTATTTGCTTCCCAGAACAGTGGCTGTGTTGGGTCTGCCATACTAGGAATGAATCCCCTCTATTGGGTTATTTGAGTGTAATCCCATCAGAACCAGCTGGGGTTTCTTCTTGGAATTCTAATCAGAGGTAACATGAAGGAAATACTTCTGCTAATCTGTTAATCCAGAATGCAATATGCTCAGTCTAGCAGTGTAGACCCCAGCACCTTACCTGGGAGTAAGCCCCCATTGAACTCAATTGGACTTACTTTTAAGTAGACACCCAGGGCATTGTGCTCCTGAGTATAGCAGTGGGATTCAATAGTGCGACTTCCAAGGAGAACAGCGAAGGAACTTTTCACCAGCCAGAATAAGCACCATGGCATTCTATAGCTTCAAGAAGTAATGGAAGGAAACCTCTTTAGCTACAACTAAAGAAGCCTTCAATTGGGCTCTGCCCGGTGATGGATGTTGCTTATTTGTTCAGGAGCCAGACATCCTTTTTCTAAAGCAGAAATCTTCCGGATGGAGAGCATGATTTCCCGGCACTCTTGAAACTGTTAAGACATTGTGTTTTTTGGGAAACGGCAGCTCTTTCTCGGAGCCCTTGTTGCTGTTGTGCTGCTGCAAGACCTCTTATGGACAGTCCCTGCAATGTTCCTCACATCATTCAACAAGTTTCTCTGCTGCCTATGTGACAGCCTGTGATGATTTAATCTAATTGTTTTAATACCTCGCAGATTCTGCTCTCCCTTAACAAGGATAGTTCCAGCAGCAAATGTTCCTTTAGATTTTATTTTTTAAAGCAAGGCTACCTGCCCCCAACATAAAGAGTATTTTTATCTGGATTTTGGAGGATGTTGTTTTGAGAGTGTAACCCAGCTGCCTCTTTGAATGCTTTCGAGCATCCTTGCAAAGGCTTTGTATGAACGAAGGCTTCTTTCACCAGAACTTGGCCAAGCCACATGAATGGGAATGTGGTAATTTCTCAGTGTCTTTTTCAAACTTAAAAGCAGCAATTTGGGGGGGGGGGGCAATTTCTACTTAGTTCAATGTCTTTTGGGGAGAGGGTGCTTTCCTCCTTTACCGCTATGCCATTTTATTAGGCAACTCCCTTCCTTAGCAAGATCATAGTGGGGTCTTTGGAGCTTTTGGTCCTCCTTCTCTTTAGTAAAGGTAAAGGTACCCCTGACCATTAGGTCCAGTCACGGACAACTCTGGGGTTGCTGTGCTCATCTCACTCTATAGGCCGAGGGAGCCAGCATTTGTCCGCAGACAGCTTCCGGGTCATGTGGCCAGCATGACTACAGTAAGCCACTTCTGGCAAACCACAGCAGCGCACGGAAATGCCGTTTACCTTCCCGCCAGAGAGGTACCTATTTATCGACTTGCACTTTGACGGGCTTTCGAACTGCTAGGTGGGCAGGAGCAGGGACCGAGCAACGGGAGCTCACCGCGTTGTGGGGATTTGAACCACCAACCTTCTGATCGGCAAGCCCTAGGCTCTGTGGTTTAAACCACAGCGCCACCCGCGTCTCTTCTATTTAGTAAGAAAGGTGCTAATAATGGATTAACCCCTTTGCTGGCCACTTTTTTTTCTAATTCAGAAGCCCTTGGTGACACTGTTGTCTAACTTGGTGGGGAGCAGTACCAGCGAAGGTGCATAAGTCACAGCAAGAATGTATTTTTTGGAAAATTCAGTTGCGCAGCCATGATAATGCCACCGCTCTCTTCCCAGTTGAAGGAGAGGGGCTCCCTTCTCAGATGCTTAATAATTAACAGATATTGCTTGATCTCAGCCGATGCCCTTCACACAGAGTTGGTGGGTTGCTGTGGCAGAAGCGCTGCATCGCAAAAGTATCAGCAGCGTTGCTTTGAAGCCACTGAGCTGAGCAATATTAAACTGGATGTCTGAAGGAATTTTTGAGCAGAGAGAGTCTTCCCATACTAAACAAACTCGTGGATCTCCTCATAGGAAATCGCCTTTGTCAGACATCTGATCCATCTAGCTCAGGATAATCCAGGGTTTCAGACCTAGTGAAAACTAGATGCTCTCTACCACTGAACTTTGACCCTTCCTAGGCTCCTACCACTGCTGCATTTTTTTAAAAGGGTACCATTGGTTTTTGAGGAAATCAACAGTGGAAACCTCCCGTTTTTGGCCACACAAGAAGACATTTGTTAGGAAGAAGGAAGATTTCCTTGTGTATACACACACTTAATGATCTAAACTGGGCTTCAGTCCTGTGGATGCTTTCTTGGGAGTAAGGCCCATTGAATAAAGAGTAAAACAAATGCAGGTGCTTTGGCTGTGGGTGCTTGCAAAAATGAGCACATACCGGAGCAGCCTTGGAAATATATATATATATATATATATATATATATATATATATATATATTTGGAGGTGAGCCCCCTTGCTCCCCTACTGCAATGACAGTATTCCTTTATTTTTTTAACCCGTTTGCACTGGAATGGAGTACGACAAGGCTGTATATTGTCTCCCTGCTTATTTAACTTATATGCAGAATACATCATGCGAAAAGCTGGACTGGATGAATCCCAAGCCAGAATTAAGATTGCTGGAAGAAATATCAACCATCTCAGATATGCAGATGACAGAACTTTGACAGCAGAAAGTGAGGAGGAATTAAAGAATCTTTTACTGAGGGTGAAAGAGGAGAGCGCAAAATATGGTCTGAAGCTCAACATCAAAAAAACTAAGATCATGGCCACTGGTCCCATCACCTCCTGGCAAATAGGCAGGGAAGAAATGGAGGCAGTGAGAAATTTTACCTTCTTGGGCTTCATAATCACTGCAGATGGTGACAGCAGCCATGAAATTAAAAGACGCCTGCTTCTTGGGAGAAAAGCAATTAGAAACCTAGACAGCATCTTAAAAAGCAGAGACATCACCTTGCCGACAAAAATCCGTATAGTTAGAGTTATGGTTTTCCCAGTAGTGATGTATGGAAGTGAGAGCTGGACCATAAAGAAGGCTGATCGCCGAAGAATTGATGCTTTTGAATTATGGGGCCGGAGGAGACTCTTGAGAGTCCCATGGACTGCAAGAAGATCAAACCTCTCCATTCTGAAGGAAATCAGCCTAGAGTGCTCACTGGAAGGACAGATCGTGAAGCTGAGGCTCCAATACTTTGGCCACCTCATGAGAAGAGAAGACTCCCTGGAAAAGACCCTGATGTTGGGAAAGATGGAGGGCACAAGGAGAAGGGGATGACAGAGGATGAGATGGTTGGACAGTGTTCTCGAAGCTACCAACATGAGTTTGACCAAACTGCGGGAGGCAATGGAGGGCAGGAGTGCCTGGCGTGCTCTGGTCCACGGGGTCACGAAGAGTCGGACACGACTAAATGACTAAACAACAAAATCTTCATTAGTGTACTCTCACCAGGAGCCACAGCCAGGGCCAGTTCTCTACCCAATGTGTGTTACTAACGGGTGTTCAGATACCAGTTTGCCACAGATTTGTTACATTTTTAGTGGCACAAACAAAAATCAATCCCTGTAATAGGGAGTGCAGGTGCTGAGTGTCGACAGAGATAGGATCAAAATAGACCCTCTGTGAGGTGAGGGGGTGGAATTGGCATGCTTGGAGTGCAATCTTAAAGAACAGAAAGCAAGTCTAATGCAGTAAAAAAACACCAACCCCCCAACTCCCCCCCCAAAAAACACAGCCCAATGAGAACTGAGCATGCTTAGTTAATTGGGGCAAATTGAAAAAAACAAAAAACAAAAAATGGGAAGGAGGCAGACAGGAGCTGCTTGAGCTCATTTCAGCTTGCATCCGTAGCTGGCTGTTGCTCTGGACAGACCTTTTAAGGGTTAGGATGCACTGCGACTTTTTATTGCAGGTTGCATGTGAGAGTGAATGAGAGATCAGACAGATTCTTGGCCCAGAATAGTGTTGCAGCGTTGTCCCAGCTAGATTTCTTAGCCCATCCTTGAAGTGAGCCTGCAGTGCATTATCCTGCCTAGGGAACAATCAGTGCCTTTCACCAGACTAGAAAGGTAAAGGTAAAGGATTCCTGGACGGTTAAGTCCAGTTAAAAGCGACTATGGGGTTGTGGTGCTCATCTCACTTTTCAGGCTGAGGGAACAGGCGTTTGTCCGCAGACAGCTTTCCAGGTCATGTGGCCAGCATGACTAAGCCGCTTCTGGCACAACGGAACACCGTGACGGAAACCAGAGCGCACAGAAACGCCGTTTACCTTCCTGCCACAGTGGTACCTATTTATCTACTTGCACTGGTGTGCTTTTGAACTGCTAGGTTGGCAGGAGCTGGGACAGAGCAACGGGAGCTCACTCCGTCGTGGGGATTCAAACCGCCAACCTTCCAATCAGCAAGCCCAAGAGGCTTGGTTATTTTGACCTCAGTGCCAACCATGTCCAGACTAGAAGGACTGTGGAGTTATCCTAGCTGCCTTTCCCTACTTAAATCGCTGTGGTTGGAATCTTTTCTTTTTCTTTTTTCTTTTTGGTCACATGCAAACAGCTTCTCTGAGATAACAGCAACACAACTGAAGAAACGACCTTACACCAACTCAAGACTTTCTCTTCATCTAGTTCAGTGCAGTTTACTCTCAGTGACACTGTCTCTCCTTAGATGAAGGGCTGTAGCTCAGTGGAAGATAATTTGCTTGGCATGTAGAGAGTCTCAGGTTCAATCTTCAGCATCTCCAGTTAGGGCTGGAAGCGTGCTGTGCCTGAAACCTTGGGGAGCTGCTGCCAGTCCGTGTAGACAGTACTGAGCTAGATGAACCAGTGATCTGACTGTGTATAATGTAGTTTCCTACACTGGGTCTCAGGCCAATGTCTTTCTCGTTACCTTCTCCCTTCTCCTTTTAGCTGGAAGTTCCCGGGGTTGCTCCAGGAACCTTCTCTATGGAAAGTACGTATTCTGCTACTGAACTATGACCCCTTTCCAACAACATAACAGTTGTTGAAAAGGCAGCATTTTCATGAGTTTGGGCAGGTCTGCTGTAGGAGTTGGAACTTCCATCCTCTGAGCTTAATCTTGAAGCAAGCAGAGAAACCTGGAAGAAGCAGAGGGTTGTGGGTTTTTTGTAGAACTGGGAACAACCCCAACAAATCTAGTGCAAGTTCTTTTCTGTAATGAATTCAGGACATTAACAGTAGATACTGGTTTTCTCTGTTGTATTTTGGTTTTTACCTTTAGTTCTTTCAGGGGTACTCTTCTTTCCAAGGAGTTGAAAGAAGAGTTTGGAACAGCTTCTAATACAGTAACTTTATTGCAGGTGACAGCCCAGAATTTAAGAATATTTGAAAGACCACTTTCTTCCCAGAAACCCTCTTGGGTCTTTAACAGAGGCTCTCTAGGTAATTCTACCACCCTTGGAAGTTTGGGGAGGCAGAAAAGCCTATGGAATTCCGTCTCCACAGAAGTGTATCTGACACCCTAATTGTGTAGCCTTTGTTGTATGCCAAAATTGCACCTCTTTACAATAGCCTTTTCACATATCTCATATATGTATGTATGGGTATTTGTATAAGTGTGTACAGTATATACGTATCCTGCCCTGTGCTTCTGATTGTGAACTGGTTTAACTGATTTTGATATTGAATTTTGATATTGTTGTGATCTGCGCTAGTAACTTAGACTTTGCCTGCTCAATCTATTTCTGTACTGGCTGCAGGGAAAGTTTGCGTGTTTGTGTTTGAATGGGTTTTGTGCATGGATGGAATTGAACGGGATATGTGTACATTTACTTTGACTCTGCTCACCACTGTTGTTGTTGTTGTTGTTGTTGCTGCTGTTATTTCTAATTTATTACCTGCTTTTTGCCCTAGGGTCCCAAGGCAGGCTATCACATTAAAACACAGTATTAAAAACAGTTTAAAACAACTTACAGACCATTCTGCCCTGCAGCTGTCACAATGTTGTTACTTGCTAATGCTATGTGCTTTGAGAATTCTACATGCTGTGAGAAGCAAGCTAGAATGTGCATGTTGTGGAATTTGGGGGACCAGGTTTCCTTGCATTGTCTGGTCTCTGGATGAGTCAGGTTGTCATTAGGATGAAGGTGAGCAATGGTGTAAATGATTCTCCTTCTTGCTATGTAGGCAGACGCCTGTTTTCTTCACATAAAAGCTGAGTAACTGGTGGTGGAGAGGGGGGAAAATGGCTGTCCCAGTCAACGCTCATCTTGTGCTGAGCCTGTTTGATTCCATAGATGTTCTCCAAAAGATGGGTGGCATCACAGAAGGAATGTTTTCTTCTCTGCTCCCCTTGACTGTGCAAAATACCATCTGGAGGGGTGGCTCAGCGCAGCTTACGGTGAGGTGATTCTGGGTTGCCGCTTACTTTGCGGGTGAGTCATCCTTTGCCTGCTGCGTCGAGTTTTGCCACCTCCTTTACAGACAAAATTGCTTGTACTTTGCTCAGTTTAGGAGCTGCTATTTTGAATACGGAGCTGGAGTTTGATGGATGAGAAGGCTCAGTTTTGACTTGCTTATCGGAACCTGTTTGAGTTAGTGCTGCCTGATGACAAAGACAATGTGTTGGATGATGTGAGCTACAGACTGTTTCCATCCACGAGAAATTCAGTGCATGTTCAAAGCTATAGTTGTTGGCACGTTACACAGCCTCCCCTCTCTTGGGCGAGGTCATCTGGTTTGGGCATACAGATGAATGGCGCATGTACCATAGAAACGGATTATTCATCTTGGTTTGAATAGTTGAGATGCTTCCAGACTGTCACACTTTTGCACATTTCTCTCATTGGTCTTAGTGCAACAAGAGGGCATCTTAGAACTTATCATAGTGCATGAGGGTGCATCGCAATAAATAAGGTAAAGGTAAAGGGACCCCTGAGCATTAGGTCCAGTCGTGACCGACTCTGGGGTTGCACGCTCATCTTGCTCTATAGACCGAGGGAGCCGGCGTTTGTCCACAGACAGCTTCTGGGTCATGTGGCCAGCATGACTAAGCTGCTTCTGGTGAACCAGAGCAGCACACGGAAACGCCGTTTACCTTCCTGCCGGAGCGGTCCCTATTTATCTACTTGCACTTTGACGTGCTTTCGAACTGCTAGGTTGGCAGGAGCAGGGACCGAGCAACGGGAGCCCACCCCGTCACGGGGATTCGAACTGCCGACCTTCTGATCGGCAAGTCCTAGGTTCTGTGGTTTAACCCACAGTGCCATCCGCGTCCCACATCGCAATAAATAGCAATGACTAAATAGCACTCTGGGGCCAGAAGTCTGCTCTCCCCAACAACAACAACCCCGACTTTTCACAGTAAGAAGAGTGACATGGGAGGGAGCTGTCAGACCATTGGTCCATCTTGGTTTGCAGTATCTACACTGATTGGAAGAGGCTCTCCAGAATTTCAGATGGGGCATTCCCAGAGATACCAGAGACTGATCCTGGGACCTTCTCCATGAAAAGTAGATGCTCTACCACTGACCTGCAGCCCTTTCCCCTGGTGAACAGAAAACCACAGTGGAAAATGCAGGATAACAACCACTTGACCGTGTCATTTTGTTATCTCAATGCAGTTTGTTAAAAACGGTATGCACTGAGTGAATTAGTTTCCCTTAGACCTATATTGAAATGGATCCCAGTTGCAGGAATGTACTGATTTTTAGAAGAGGGAAAAACGCCATCAGATTGAAAATGCAACACACATTCTGTCAAAGATTTATAAAATCATCTTAGGTGTTTTTGTGTGTGTGAGGAAGAACAAGTTAAGCAATAGATGATGGAATGGGAACATGACGTAGGCATTTCCTTACTGTTCGATACCTGCTGTGAGTACCTGGTGCCTGAGAGCAATTTATTTCTCTCCGTAAAGGAATTAGCAAGAGAATGGTATTGAAATGATGACACGTTGCCAAATAATGCGGTACATTTACCAAGGTATGCTGGAAATATCGAAAGGATGGCAGAAACTATATCTGTGTGTGGATAAATTGTCCAAAGCAAGAGACTATTGGTTAAAGATAAGGGGTAAGATAAAGCAAATAGGACACAATAAGCTGGAGTTGGACGTGATACTCTTCTTATGGTTTGCAAGGTGTCTGCCAATGAATTGGCAAGACATTATTTATATGTTTGTAATAGCTAGACTATTGTCTTATTCATGCAATCAGAAGAATGTATGTGGACCTAAAGCTCTGTCAATGGAAGCCCTGCTCAAGAACTTCTGGTTGCACAACAGGGCTCCCTCTCCTCTCTTCTCTCCTCTCCTTTCCTCCCACTGCCCCCCCTCAAGATTGGTTTGGGGAAGTCAGGAGAACTCACAGAACAGTGTGCAGGGGATGTGGGTGGGATCGTTCCGTCTGGCAAGCTGCAAGGCATGGGCAGATGGAATAATTGGAAGAGTGGACCATTGACTTCCACCCAAGGTGTTTAAGGTGAGGAGACCCTGCTGTCAACTTTCCTGTCTCTGTCCGCTGCACCCTCAACCTTCTTGCATTGGCCAGGAAGGTGTGAAGGAGGCTTCTAAGCACATCTAGTTCGATATGGAAAGATAGGGGTGGAGTGGGTGCCTAGCATGCATGACCACTCTGGGGGCAGGGACAGTGGGCATGTGCCAGCACCCCCAATACGCACTGCATATCCATGAAGACATTGAGAGGGCTCATGTTTTATGTGAACAAAGTGGAGAACATCAATCATTCCTATCCCCAAGAAATGGGACAGTAAAGTCTGAAGTTATGTTTAAGCTAACTAATAAGAATGAGAATCAAGGAGGGAAGACAAAGGCGAAACAGGTTTTTAATGAATTTCACAAACTGACTTGCCTAAAGTCAGTGGCTGTCAGAGTGCAACAGGTTCTCCTCCCTTGACCTAGGGCAAATTGCTAAAACAAACAAGGCATGGGGTATTCTAACTCACTACAAAATATGCTTTAGATTGCTGCTGTACTCGAGCAGAAACTCAGTGTCTTATATAAAATCAATCTCTCTCTCTGACTGTCTTGTATATAGGCCAAATTAGCCCCAGCTCTGCTGATCATGGTCAACAAGACCTTAAACTATTGGGATCCCAATTTTGAGGATGAGGTCATCAACATCAATGTTGGGGGCCTGAGAAGAAGGCTGAGCTCGAGCGCCCTCTCCAAGTTCCCCGACACTCGCCTTGGGCGCTTGCTCTCCTGCGACTCGGAAGAGTCCATCTTGCAGCTGTGTGACGACTATGACGTGAGTGCCCGGGAATTCTACTTTGACCGCAACCCTGGCTTCTTCCTTTATGTGCTCCACTTCTACCAGACGGGCAAGCTGCATGTGATGGACGAGCTGTGCGTCTTCTCCTTTTGCCAAGAGATTGAGTACTGGGGCATCAACGAGTTCTTCCTGGACTCCTGCTGCAGCTACCGCTACCATGAGCGGAAGCTGGAGAGCCGCCACCACAACTGGGATGAAGAAAGCGAGGTCAGCAGTGTGGACATGTCTCCAGACGAGATCTCAGATTTCAACCACGACCTGCTTCGCTACAGCACCCTGCGCTGTGGTAATGTGCGCAAGCGCCTCTGGCTCACCATGGAGAACCCGGGCTACTCCATCCCAAGCAAGCTCTTCAGCTTTGTGTCCATCAGCGTTGTGTTGGCCTCCATCGCGAGCATGTGCATCCACAGCATGCCGGAGTACCAGGAGCCCGACGAGGAAGGCATCCTGAAGGACGACACAGTGCTGGAGAACCTGGAGTACTTTTGCATCTCCTGGTTCACCTTTGAAGTGACGGCCCGTTTGCTGCTGGCGCCAAACTTGAGGAAGTTCTTCAAGCACCCCTTGAACCTGATTGACATAGTCTCAGTGCTGCCTTTCTACTTCAGCCTTCTGGTGGAAGTGACCGCAGGGAGCGACTCGGAGCTGGGCAACGTGAGCAAGGTGGTGCAGGTGTTTCGCCTCATGAGGATATTCCGGGTGCTGAAGCTGGCGAGGCATTCGACGGGCCTGAGGTCCTTAGGAGCCACCTTGAAGGTAAGCCTGTCATGGGGGTGGCTTTGGCTTCCTGGGATGTTGAAGGTTCTCAGGGCCCAAACTGGACATTGGTTTCAGTTCATAGTATGCAGATGCATATCTTGTTCTATGTTTTCCTTGAAGAATTAATTGGCACAATGAGATTCTTACTGGGAAAGTGGTGTGGGGCGGAGGGTTATCTTTCTCTCCATGGTCATAATGGATAAACCGCTCCTTTCTCTGCCCATGCGCTGTTCTGAAATTCTTCGGACCCCACCCCTAGCACGGCACATGGAGAAGGAGTGAGGGGAAAGGTGCAATGAACAGGAGGAAGTCCTTTTTCAGGGCTTCTGTTGGCGGGCCTGGTTAGTCAAATCCCATCCCAAGTGTTGGTCCTGACCTTTAAAACTCTAAACAGGTAAAAAGTAAAGATAAGGTAAAGGACCCCTGGATGGTTAAGTCCAGTCAAAGCCAGCTATGGGGTGCAGCACTCATCTCGCTTCAGGCTGAGGGTGCTGCCGTTTGTCTACAGACAGCTTTCCGGGTCAAGTGGCGAGCATGACTAAGCCGTTTCTGGTGCAACGGAACACCGTGATGGAAGCCAGAGCGCACGGAAACACCATTTACCTTCCTGTTACAGTGGTACCTATTTATCTACTTGCACTGGTATGTTTTAAAACTGCTAGGTTGGCAGGAGCTGGGACAGAGAAACGGGAGCTCACCCTGTTGCGTGGATTCGAACCGCTGACCTTCTGATTGGCAAGCCCAAGAGGCTCAGTGGTTTAGACCCATGTCCCACTTTGAACAATTGGAGGCCCAGTTGCTTAAAAGGCTTCCAGTACCCATATGAACCTGCCAGAGCACTAAAAGCAGCTGGTAAGACCTTGCTTGTATGTCAGCCAGGAAGGAAGGCTAGGCTAGGAGTCAGGAACTTTTTGGTGGCAGCCCCACATTTATGGAACTCCACCCCATAAGAAATCCCCACATCTTTCAATTGGGAACAGATTGTGTGCTTCCTGTGTGCTGCTGATCTGTCGCTTTTACTGTTTTAATGCTCTACATGTGTTTTATAACTCTTTTTATCAGATACCATATGCTGCCTTAGCAAAATACTGCATTTCAAAATGTGGCTAGTAAGTCTGTTAGATAAATAAGTGTAAATAGACAAGGTTGGGCTTCTGTGTTCTGCAAAGCCTCCTGATGTTTCACAGAGGTGGTTTCAAAGCCTTTGAACTAAGTAACACATATCCAAGTATTATTATTTTTTCTTGTTCCTGTTCCTTACATTCAGACATTTATTTCTCTGGTGCAAAATTTGGATTTTGGAAAGGAAGAATAATACCATGTTTGCTGTCCTAAACCATCTGGCCTAATTGCGAACCCCTTGAAATTTCCAGGCGATACCCTAGGATGTTTTCTTTGCTCAGTGGAGCATAGCTCTTTATAATTTGTGATCCTCCTGCCAGCCAGCCTTAGGCTGACCTGCAAGAGCTGGCATTTGTCTGACACCAGAAGGAGTTTTCAGGCTGGCTGGTTGCATCTGCATGATGGGATCTCCTGTAGTGTAGCGGGTGTTTATCTGTGGTTTCTGCTGGGGTTTTCTACTCTGGTTCTCAAAGGGCCTCTCATATTATAATGAGAACAGGCAAGACTCTCCTTCTGCAAGAAAATGAATCGTTCAGTTTCAGCCTTGCAGGGAGCGGCCCAAAAGTGACCTGGCCAAGCATAGGACCAAGGGATATGTATGTATTTATTCATCAGGCTTTATCTATACCACTTAATCATCGAAACCTCTAAACTGTTTGCATAAAATATCCATTAAAATGACCAATACAATCATGCTAAAAACAAGTTTACTTATTCCTCCCCCACAAAATGTATGAAGTCAGCTGTTTTAGAAACATGCATCGTAAAATAGGATTACATATAAAAATATATGTCAAATGGGTATCTGGGTGTGCTTGCTTACACCAAAAAGTTTTTAGCAGGTGCTGAAAGCAGTACAGTGAAGGTGCCCGGTTAATATAAATGGGCAGCGAGTTCCAAAGCTTAGGTGCTGCCACACTGAAGGATCAGGAAGGAACATTATGTGGCACTTGTTAAAGTGCCATTTCGCAGACTGAAGTGGTTGAGTGGGCCAATATATATGGGATAAGGCAACCCTCCTCCTAAGATATTATGTAGTGAAGAGCATGCTTTTATGTCGTGAATTTGCTGCAGAAATTTACACAGCTGAAGGGTCCTGATGGGTTTGCCAGGATCCAGACCTTTGATCATCTTGGTTGCCCTCCTCTGCACACATTCCAGCTTGTCAACATCCTTCTTAAAAATTGTGGTCTCTCCCCAGAACTGGACAAAGTATTCCAGGTGTGGTCTGACCAAGGCAGAATAGAGTGGTACTGTTACTTCCTTTGATCCAGACACTCTATTTCTGTTGATGCAGCGTAGAATAGCATTAGCAGCTAAGGTCATTTCGAATCCTGATTCTGTCTTCTGCAGCATTAGCTAACTCTCCCAGTTTGGTGTCATCTGCAGATTTGATGAGCACCCCTTCAATTCCTTCATCCAAGTTGTTTATAAAGACGTTGAACAACAATGGGCCCAGGACAGAACCCTGTGGCCACCTTGCTTGTCATTTTTTTCCAGGGTGACGAGGAACTGTTAATGAGTACTCATTGGGTTCAGTCAGTCAACCAGCTACAAATGTACCTAACGGTTACTTCGTTCAACCAGCTTCCTTGCAAGAATATCATGGGGGACCTTTGCCAAAAGCCTTCCTGAAATCAAGAGACACTATGTTCACAGAGTTCCCCCGATCCACCAAACTTATAACACTGTTAAAAAAAGAAATGAGATTTGTCTGGCATAACTTGTTTTTGAGAAACCCAGCTGGGTCTTAGTAATCACAACATTTTTTTAATAATAATAATAATAATTTATTATTTATACCCCGCCCATCTGGCTGGGTTTCCCCAGCCACTCTGGGCGGTTTCCAAAAGAATATTAAAATACTGTGATACATAAAATACTGTGATACAAGTGCTTGCAGACCTGACGTTTGAATTATCTGTTCCAGGACCTTTCCTGGTATTGATGTCAAACTTATCTAGTCTGACCCTGTGCAATGCAGGACTCTCAGCTAAAGCATCCATGACAGATAGCCATCCAACCTCTGCTTAAAAACCTCCAGGGAAGGAGAGTCCACAACCTCCCAAGGGAGCCTGTTCCACTGCCGAATAGCTGTTACTGTCAGAAAGTTCTTCTTGATGTTTAGTCGGAATCTCCTTTCTTGTAACTTGAATCCATTGGTTTGGGACCTACTTCGCAGAGCAGGAGAAAACAAGCTTGCTCCATCTTCCATGTGATGCCCTTGAGATATTTGAAGATGGCTATCAAATCTCCTCTCAGTCTCCTCTAAACCAGGCTTTTTTTAAAAAAATCATTTTTATTGGTTTTACAAATACAAAGTACAAATAAACACAAATTAGTAAAAACATATCTGTATAGAGAGATTCTCCAAAACGCAAGACTTCCCCCCATTCCCTCCATGGGGTGTCATTTTAAGGATCTGCAACTGCATATTCATGCGTACAGTGGTACCTCGGGTTAAGTACTTAATTCGTTCCGGAGGTCCGTTCTTAACCTGAAACTGTTCTTAACCTGAAGCACCACTTTAGCTAATGGGGCCTCCAGCTGCCACTGTGCCGCCGGAGCACGATTTCTGTTCTCATCCTGAAGCAAAGATCTTAACCTGAAGCACTATTTCTGAGTTAGTGGAGTCTGTAACCTGAAGCGTATGTAACCTGAAGCGTATTTAACCCGAGGTACCACTGTTCTCCAATTTTTATATCAAACCATATTGTCCATAGTATTTTTTTTACCACAAGTGAGTCAAAATCCTGCTCTTGTTTCCATCTGCTTACAGTGGTCTCCTAAGTAACTTATAAATTTCCCCATTCTTTTATAAAGTTTTTATCCTCTTGGTTTCTGCATTTTCCAGTCAGCTTTGCCATCTCAGCATAGTCCATCAGCTTGGTTTTCCATTCTTCTCTGGTAGGGACCTCTAATTCAGGCTCAACATACCCATCTCCCTCAATCGTTTCTCATAAGGCTTGGTTTCCAGACCCTTGATCATCCCTTCTTGGTTGCAGAAACCTGGTTATGAAGTTTTCTCCCCAAGGAGGAGGATGCTTATATTGCTGTCATTTAGGCATGAAATGAACATTGCTGTTTCTGAAAGGTTTACCTGCTTCCAGTTTTATTCAGTGTTTTACCTTGAAGTTTACTTCATTGTTGTATATCCGGGTCATCCACCCTGGGGGTGTTTTATATTTAGTGGTCAAATGTAACATACCTGACCAAGTTGGACCCTAGTTCTTAAAGAAGCCTTGATGCAAATCAAGCATGAGCGCTGGAAGCAGGAAACAGCCTATTTTGGGACATTGGGACCAAGGGACAGGAAGGTAGTGATGGTGCAACAAGGAGGAGACACAGCGTAAGTGAAGCTCCTGTTTGGAAGTATATTTCTCATCACTGCTTTGTGCTGTAAGCGTAGTTTGTTTTATTGCTTCTCCCTGCTCACGCAGCCAGCAAAGCGAGAGGACAGAAGTAAAAGTAATGGCTGCTATAAGAAGATGAAAATGTGTTATTGATCCAGAAACCTGGGACCCATTATCTCCAAGTGTAAATTTCACCCAGATATCTTTGTCTAGTTTTTCCTTTTTATGAGCTACCACCTTCCTTGCTGGTAGGATGAAGTTCTTATTCCCTAACTTAGTTTTCTCCCCAAGCATTTTCACGCTCTCTGCTTCCCCACTCCTTCACACACTCATTCACACAGCATCTTTGGTTACTCCACATTTCTGGCTGGGTTGCACTTGGATCAGCTGCCCCTCTCTCTCTCTCTCTCTCTCTCTCTCTCTCTCTCTCTCTCTCTCTCTCTCTCTCTATTTTGACAGTTTCATTTTGAGCCTGACTGTCACTATGCTGTTGTCCCAGCCTGTCTGTCAATTGTGTCCCTGCTATAAATAACCAGCTCTGACAGATCTTGTTCTGCTCGTGTCATGTGACTCTGGGTTAGTCCTCCTCGCTGCATCTTCTGCTTGGCGATGGCAAGAGGGACTTCCATTCCCCCACCTGACACGCCTGAGCGAAAAACACGCGTCCCTGACGTTGACGGATGGACTCGTCATCTTTTGACAGCGACACATGGGTCATTCAGTGTAAGCAGCAGTTCCAGCTGTAGTCAGCCGGTCGGTTGTGATCCTTCCCTGTGCCGTAGAGCAAATACTGAGCAGCACAATCCATTTCTTCGGCTCCATTTTGAAGACATAAGAGGGGTGTGCTAGAGGAGAATTGCCAACATATAAAGTCTGATGCAAAGGCCTTTGACAAGTGGATTTGAGTTCTCAAAGATCCTGCCTGAGAATTGAGAGGGGAGGACTCTTGCCCTTCACAAAAGATGCCCACAGGAAACATTTTAAGGCTGCCCACCCTATGGCCACCCTTCAACCTTGACCACATTTGTACCATATTTTTAAAGCACTATGATGCCACTTTAAACAGTCATGGCTCTCCCTAAATAATTCTGGGAGCTGTAGTTTAAGGGAGCTGCGTTTTTCCCCAGCCCCCCAAGCTGATGGGGGGGGGGAGAGCAGGGGGGAAGCCCTGCTATGCTAGAGGGAGCCTTTGTGTTCGCTTCCACCAGTGAAACTGCTTAGTTGAATGAGCAGCCCCCCCCCCGTCCATCCCTGAACATCTTTTGCTATCCAAGAAGGTAGGTTTGCTAGCTGACAAGGCTTCAGTCATGCCTATAATCATGTCTCTAAAAAGGAGAACTTCATCTGATACATTTCTGCAAGTTAAAGACTGTTGACATTGGTGTTTTATTATTATTAGGTGGGATCAATCAGATACATCCTGGCAGCACAATGATTTACACTTGCACAATGGAGCTTCCATGCCCTCTTCAAGTTTGCCAAACCAATTGTGGTGGGAGGAGTGGGGTAATTTCTGTTGCGCAAGTGTCAATCCTTGCACTGTTAGGATTCATTAGCTGGATATAATTATTATTTATTAATTCATGTACCGCTTAATTGCCAAGGTGGCTTCTAAGCAGTTTACAAGTATAAAAAACCCATTATAAAAATATTAACACACATAATTGAAAGGTGTGTGTGTGTGTGTGTGTGTGTGAGAGAGAGAGAGAGAGAGAGAGAGAGAGAGAGAGAGAGAGAGAAGTATGGCAGTCCCAGCTTGACTCAGAAACTGGAAATGCTCCATTTTGACCCCTTCTCTGAGATTTGGCACTGGATATTGCCCCTCTCTGTTATGCCAACATAGTCATCCACTAGGATTGCCAAAACCAATTTGGAAAAAGGAGGAGCTTTGGTAAAATGCAGCTTCTACTGTCACAAGCCTTTCAGCAACTGGGGATTTATTATTATTATTATTATTTGCCCATCTACCCTTCTGTAAAATTGCATAGACCCAATCCTGCTTGACACCCCTCTCACCAGCAACCTCCTTGATCTTCCCTGTGGCTGAGTTGGCACCACAATCAGACATGTCTTCTGGCATCGCGTGAGCCTCCCCCTCCCCTTTTCAAGTCCCTGCTCTGCACTCTGCGAAAGGGAGGAGAGTGACAGATATTTATTTGCCATCAGGAAATCAATCTCCTCCCTGCCAAACATTGCAGACACCAGATGGGTGTTTGTCTCGGGTGAATGCAAACCAGGGACTTGCCCAACATACGGCTGGCAGTGGTGCCAATCTGGAGTCCAGCACCGTCTACATCCTGAGAGGCAGGCCGGCAGCACCAGGCAGATTCTTGATGGCTCCATGTTTTGCCCTTCAGAGAAGCTGCGCTGGGAGCTGGAGAAACACCAGGGGCAGCGAAGGCTGCCTGACCCTTGAGGCTCCATTTGCATTAGTCACAGGAGGGGTGGTGGTCAGCAAAGCATCTTGATTTTTATTCTGAGAGCTGTTAAGAAGCATATTGATCCAGGAAGGCGCCTGGACCCTAGATAAACAGATATTAAGCTGGTGACACTGGGGAGCAAGGGTGTTTATGTGTTTTTAGCACCTCCTTCCAAGGCTTCAATCCTTCATAAAGTAAGAGAGCCATGAATCTCACCAGTCAGTAACAGGTTTAGCACACTCCTGGGAGTGACTCTCAGAAGTAAGGCATACTGAGTTCAGTAGGGTTTAAGGTAAAGGGTAAAGGGACCCCTGACCGTTAGGTCCAGTCGCGGACGGCTCTGGGGTTGCGGCGCTCATCTTGCTTTATTGGCCGAGGGAGCCAGCGTACAGCTTCCGGGTCATGTGGCCAGCATGACTAAGCCACTTCTGGCGAACCAGAGCAGCGCACGGAAATGCCGTTTACCTTCCCGCCGGAGCGGTACCTATTTATCTACTTGCACTTTGACGTGCTTTCAAACTGCTAGGTTGGCAGGAGCAGGGACCGAGCAATGGGAGCTCACCCCGTTGCGGGGATTTGAACCACCAACCTTCTGATCAGCAAGCCCTAGGCTCTGTGGTTTAGACCACAGTGCCACCCGTGTTTACTCCCAGGTAAATGGGTGTAGGATTATTCTGCAAAATGAGGCGTTCTACAAACAGTTCGAATCACAGCAAAAGTCACCTGCTTGCACTTTAATTGATCTCTCTGCAGTGCAAATGGCTCTCCCAACCTACCCCATTATGAATTGAGAGGGTGGGAGAAATGAGAGCATATTATTTTAATATAATGATTCTGTGCTGCACAAGTGTACAAGAAAAAACAAACATGTAACAAGCTATTTCAAATGTTGCAGCTGTGAAATATTAAGAGGTCGCAAATTTGCAACCAAAATGGTCAAAGGCCTGGAAACGATGCCTTATGAGGAACGGCTAAGGGAGCTGGGCATGTTTAGCCTGGAGAAGAGGAGGTTAAGGGGTGATATGATAGCCATGTTCAAATATATAAAAGGATGTCACATAGAGGAGGGAGAAAGGTTGTTTTCTGCTGCTCCAGAGAAGCGGACACGGAGCAATGGATCCAAACTACAAGAAAGAAGATTCCACCTAAACATTAGGAAGAACTTCCTGACAGTAAGAGCTGTTTGACAGTGGAATTTGCTGCCAAGGAGTGTGGTGGAGTCTCCTTCTTTGGAGGTCTTTAAGCAGAGGCTTGACAACCATATGTCAGGAGTGCTCTGATGGTGTTTCCTGCTTGGCAGGGGGTTGGACTCGATGGCCCTTGTGGTCTCTTCCAACTCTATGATTCTATGATTCTATGATTCTAAATTGGATACAGTACGAGCATACCTAACTGTGTCTGCATTGCAAGCTCTTTAAGTCTCATATTATTAGTATTTTAACGAGTATTTATTAAAGTTATTGGTTGCTTTTTCTGCCATAGCAGCTTAAAGCGCCTTGCAATGTTTTAAGGCAACAACCACATATGTATGTTAAAGCCAGCTTTAAAAAGCAATCTTAAAGACAATTCTGGGTTTTTTAAAAGCAAAATTAAAACATCTCACCCATGGAAAAAGAGCATAGCTCATTAAAAGCCAAAGGCCTGATGGAAAAAAAGTTGTTTCTTGGCACACAAAGATATATAATGATGGCACCAGGCGAGCTTCTCTGGGGTGAGTATTCTACAAGCAGGAAGTCACAACTGCAAAGGCCGGTTCTCATGGAAGGGGCACACAAAGGAGGGAGGATCATCTGAGGATGATGATCGCAGAGGTATTGGCTGTGGCATTGTTGTTGTTTAGTCGTTTAGTCATGTCCGACTCTTTGTGACCCCATGGACCAGAGCACGCCAGGCATTCCTGTCTTCCACTGCCTGCCGTAGGCATATGCCTATGCCTGCTGTGGCATAGGCATCAATATAATGTCGCTGTGTTGCACACTGCTCTGAAAATCATCCAAGAAAGATGTTGGTTGGTTGGTTGGTTGGTTGGTTGGTTTAATGGTACTGGAGACAGCCCAAGATCTGCATTCCCAGGGTCTGCGTTTCACTCAACATTAATTCAGGGCAGGAGTGTAGGGACAAAACAGTGGGAGGGGTACTAAACCCTTGTCAGTGTGCATTTCTTGGTACAGAAAGTATTGATCTGATGTGTAGAGATCTTTCCTATTCTAATTAATTCAAGAGGGTTCTGGAAGCTTCTCTGTGTGAAAGAAACAAGCTGAAGGTTCATGGTGTTTGGGTGATTTCTTCAGAGAAGATGAGTATAGCTGGTTTAAACTGGTTCTCTTATCTCTTCTGTCAAGGTCATGCTGACTGTATTAATAGGCCAGAAGGAGCCTGGGTTTTCTTTTCTTTCTTTCTTTCTTTCTTAATTGATTTTTATTGAGTTTTAAATTGGTTATTCATATACACATTCCATTCACTCTTTAACATATATCGTACACATATAAAAACCATACAATAACAATATTTCTACACAAGTGACTTCCCACCACCTCAGTGCGGCTTCTTCTGTCTTCTTTCTCGTTTCAACTGTGTTGTTTATCCTTATTGTCTTTCTAATACATAATTTATCTTATCTATCTGATCTTTACCTTGCAAAATTTAGTTTTATTTGAGAACAATGTTTTCCCAGATGATCTTTTACACATTCTCTTTTCCCAGATGATCTTTTACACATTACTTTCTCTTTCTATCTCTTTTCCTTCTGGTGTGGTGTTCTGTATATAGTGCCAAGGTTTAGTCTTATTATAAGTTATTGTAATATTAAGTTAAGTCTGCTGCAACTGGATTTCTTATGGACAGTGCCAATCCTGAATGTATTAGATTTGTGACCATTATGCTCATTTGCCTTCAGTAGCAGTAAAGCTCTGCTGGATGAAATGCAATTGCCTCTGGTCTATTTATTGAGAATCCTGCAACGTGTTTAAGTTTTAATTCTGCTAACTATACGTTGGAATCTACTCTGGATCAATATTGAGTAGAATTCCATGACAACCCTTCCCGTCCACTGATTCTTCTGCTCCAGTGCTCTCCCAGGCAGATGCTGGACTGCAGCTGTCTCCCATTATCGCTGAGCAGTGGGTGTGCTGCCTGGGGCTAATGACAGGTGGAGTCCACAGATCCCCCACCCCTCCCTTAGCAAGTGCAGGATTAGAAGACTACAGTGGTACCTCGGGTTACAGACGCTTCAGGTTACAGACTCCACTTACCCAGAAATAGTACCTCGGGTTAAGAACTTTGCTTCAGGGTGAGAACAGAAATCGTGCTCTGGCGGCGCAACGGCAGCAGGAGGCCCCATTAGCTAAAGTGGTGCTTCAGGTTAAGAACAGTTTCAGGTTAAGAACGGACCTCCAGAACAAATTAAGTTCTTAACCCGAGGTACCACTGTATTGATTGAGGCAACTTGTAGTTCCACCCTAGGTAGGTTTGTGACACTTGCTATCTGAGTTCCCACATGATACAAAGAGGGATATCCCTGTCTTAAGAGGGGGGAAGGAGCCAACCAGCTCATCAGGGAGCAGAGAAGTCAAGAAGGTCCCCATGACCTTCCTTCCCTCTAAGAATCTCTTTATTCCCAGTTGTACACTGTTGCTGCCCATTCCCACGATCTTTTCTATTCTCTTTTTCAGCACAGCTACAGAGAAGTGGGAATCCTACTCCTGTACTTGGCCGTTGGGGTGTCCGTTTTCTCCGGAGTGGCCTACACAGCTGAAAAGGAAGAAGATGTTGGCTTTGATACCATCCCCGCCTGCTGGTGGTGGGGGACAGTGAGCATGACCACCGTCGGCTACGGAGATGTTGTTCCAGTGACTGTGGCTGGCAAGCTGGCTGCTTCCGGCTGCATTCTGGGCGGGATTTTGGTCGTGGCGTTGCCCATCACCATCATCTTCAACAAGTTCTCCCACTTCTACCGCCAGCAGAAGGCCCTCGAGGCCGCTGTGCGGAACAGTGATAAGAAGGAACCGGAGGACTCTGAGAATTACCCGAGCCAAGAGTCAGAGTTTTGCAGTGAGGCCTACCAGAGAGACGATGACTTTACCAGAAACATACTTCCAGTCCATTGAGATGGACAGGGAATCAGGGATTTCAATTCTGGCATCAGGCTTCCAGGCAAGGAGCTCGTGAGATGGTCGCAGGAGCAAATATCTCGGCCATTGTGGGCCCATTAGTTATCAGTGACCTGTTGCAGAATCACTTGCCTCCTGAGCCAATACAGGATACCAACTCACCTTATGCATCTGGATATCCAGTATTTTGCCCAAGACGCTATACACTGTGACTGACTCGATCCTCTACCCACCAAGGGACCGTTGGAGCCAAATGGCCAAACTGCTATGCTTCTTGATGCAGCCCATATTTCATCCCTCCAGAGCAGCAAAAGAGGGTAGCTTTACCATTATCAGCACTTTTTAAGGCCCTTGCAGGGGTGTGTGAGTGGGGAAAATGCTATTAGCAACCCTCAGGTATAACCGACAGGCAGGGGAGCAAGGCATCCTGGCTGGATTGGAAATGCAAGTCTAGAATCCTAGCAGATAATAGGCAAATGGCGCAACCATTTTTTAAAGGCTCTTTTTCTCATTTTAGGCGTTCAGCAGCCATCCCAGTAACAACCACCATGTCCTTAGTTCAGATACAACCAAATGCTCTCCACTGTCCATCAAGTTGTCAATACACAACATTATCCCCACCCCCCACCCCAATTTCTGTGCTCTGGAGACCGGATTATGATTCTGCTTCAGCTGTTGCCAAAGAGACCAGATAACGGTTGCAAAGTCTTTCCTGAGTTTCTGTGACAAAGTGTTGTTTGTGGCTCATGAGATTTATAGAAGAAAGAACCTCCTGGCTCCCTTGATAAATGTCTGTCCAACAGAGACAGTGGAGACTTATCAGTGGATGCAGAAGAATTAAATAGATTTGAAGCTGATGAAGGAAAACAGGACAGGGTGTTGTGGGAGAATTGTGATACCTTGATGTGCTGAATAAGGGTTGGAGTACATCACGGGGTGGGTGGGGCTGCTACTTAGTGCCTCATAGCCAATTCTCCACCCCAACCCTTAATGTTTTCGAATGAAATGGATGCTTTTTCTACAACTATGCATGGTATACTGTTGAGAAATTGGAGAGGGAACTACCCACTCCCCTTGCCTTCTCAGCATTGGTGCCCAAAGCCCAATGAAATTGAAAGATTAGATTAAAAAAAAAAAGATACTAAAGCAATTGTCTGATACAATTCAACTGTCACAAAATAATAGTGTCAGCCGTTGGAGTAGTAGATGGCTTTAAATTAGGCCTCATCTGCACTGTACACTTAAAGCAGCCCTGGCTTCCCCCAAGGAATTCTGGGAGCTGTAGTTCGTTAAGGGTGCTGAGAACTATTAGGAGGCTCATGTTCCCCTTAGAGAGCTGCAATTCCCATAGTGCTTTAACAATCAATCCCTCTTCACATGGAACTCTTGAGAATTATAGCTTAGTGAAAGGAATAGGGGCCTTCTTACAACTCTCAGCACGCTTAACAAACTACAGCTCCCAGAATTCCTTGAGGGGAAGCCATGACAGTTTGCAGGGGTATCATAGCCCTCTGAATGTGTGGTGTAAATGTGGCTGCTGATACTGCTGTGTAGACATGGCTGGAATAGGCACAGGTTATCTTAAAGGGGTTTTTGTTTTAGCTGCAGATGTGTTTACCTCATTTCTGATGATGGTTTCTCTCCCAGTACTTTGCTCATATTGGTAATCCCTCGCCTCAGTGGAGGAGGAGGTGGAAGAAAGCTTTCAGCTAGGCTCCATACACTCATGACAGGACAGCCATAGCACCCATGCAAATATAGCTGCAAAAAATATGGCCCATAGCAAGGGGATAGCAGTGGGTTTTCTTCTCATTGGTCACAAGGTGTTATATAACTTCACCTGACACATGATTATAAGGCTTGGACAGCAGCAGTAACATAATACTGTCATTGGGGCCAACGAAAATGTCACAAGATAATAAGCAAGCTTCCAAGAACGCAGAACTCTCCTTTGAGGCGAAGGTTAAGCAAGAAAGCACAGGGTGGGAAGATGCCACACTTTACCATTTGTAACAATCTGAAAATGGACTAGAGGAGGCATTGGGCAGGTTTAATTAGCTTGGCCTGAGCTAGTTGCAAACAACAAATGAATCTCTGGGTTCACCAAAGGCTACGAGAAGGAAGAAGCAATGACTAGCTTTCGCTTTTGAAAATATCAATGGCAGCAGTGACTCTGGTCTGTTTCTAAAGCTAATCAGAACAGAAGCATCTCTTATAAGGTAGACTTAGCACTTACAAGAGCTCTGCCAATGATAACTCTGGCATGGCAGCCCCCAAATTGTTTTAGGATCCCCTTGCGGACATGGACCTTTGTTTTGTTTTTGTCTTCAGTAGTTGTGTGTCTGAGAGAAGTTAAACAAGATCTTCAGGGAGGAGGACCCTTTTCCAAGATGGAATTCAGCCGGGGAACCTGAGGAAAACTGGGGGGTTCTGATTAGCACTGCAAACCTTGAACCACTAAAGAATTCCTGTTGGTTTCAATTGGGGTTAATTCACAGTGGGTGGTGTGAGGATTGTGGCCCAATAACCTGATCCTTTACACTTGCTGCACCCAGAATGCACTGCAGCAGCCAACACAATTTTCCTCTGGACGCTACAGGGCCAATGATAGATTACACAGGTACCAATGCTTGGGCAAATTAGCAAGCCAGTTCCGTTTTGCAAGCCAGCCTTTTGGCACATAAGTTCCATTTTGTTCCAATTGCTTTGTACCTTGTACGTCTCAAGCTTGCTGTGGGGTCTCTCGTTCTCTGTGCTCTACTGCTCAATGCGCTATCATCAGTCTCTGTTCAAAGAAAAATGGAGAATTATTAGGGGCCGGCAAGTGTTTTTCCTAGTGGATTCAAATTAATTTAGCGGAGTTTCCCTTCAGCAGCGAGCTTTGCGCCGAGCATGTGGGAATTCTTCTGCTGGCATGGGCATGTGATGATAATGAAATGTCACTATTATGGGATGAGCAGGCTGCGGAGCTCAGGGCCTACTCCAGGCGGCAAAAACCACAGCCTTCCACGAACACCCCAGGGGATGCTGATGCAACGCAACCAGAAAGCCTATGAATGGCAGATAGCGCAGCTCCCTGTGTGCTAGGCAGCTGGAGGAACTTTCTTCCAGTGTTCCTGCCTGCCTGCCAGCTGCTCTCTTAATCCCTGAGGTCTCTTTCTAAAGTAGGCAAAGGGAACAGGAAGCTTGCTGACAACAGAGTCGAGCCATTGTTCCATCTAGCCATTGTTCACATTGACTAGCAAGCAGAGCCCCAGGATTTCAGGCTTTCTCCCAGCCCTCTGTGGAGATGGCTGGGGATAGAACCTGGACCTTCTGCATGCCAAGCAGGTGTTCTGCCCAAGAGCGACAGTGCTTCCCTAAAGGGTTGCAGCCAGGAAATAAATATGCTGATGGCCCCAGAAGAAGAAGAAACTGCATCTGCCAAAATATATCCCCCCTGAAAAATGAAGGGGCACCGTTATTCCTTCTCAGTCCTATTATGCCCCCCCCCCCCGGGGGCTATTTGGGGAACATGGGGCGGGGGGAGAATATAAATTGAATTATTAATAACAATAAACCCCAAACTCCCTTCTGGGTTTTTCTGCATAGAATTCGTCCTGCGAGGCAGGCTCAAACGGAAAACCCTTTCGTCTAGCGGTTTTTCCGTCTTGCGAGGCATTCGTCTTGCGGGGCACCACTGTATGTAAGCGAGTCTTTGAACACGCTTTTTCGAAACGCCAGAATTACGGCTCTTTCTGATAAATAAAGAATGCTTAACGAACATGCCAGAATTCCCTAGCTCAGTGGAACAGGCCGTGTTTTTTTGTGGGCATTTTGCCCTGGCACCTCCTGTTTGGACTGGGACAGAGTCCTTTCTGAAACCTCGCATAGCTGCTGCCGGTCAGTGAGAGCATACTGAGATAGGTGGAACAATGATCTGATGAGGAATGTGTTTAAAAGTAACATTAAGTAAAGCATGCAGTGTATAACATGCACATTCAGAGACATACCACACATGACATAGACCTTTAACCCCTCCTATGCATATAAAACCTATGCATATAAAACCTACTCATTAAGCTGGCAACACTTCATAAAACATGTATAAGTACATTCATTCTTAGATGCTTCTCATTTGAATAAAGCTATTTTTCCCTGTCTTCCAAAACAAAAATCAGCTTAGCACTACCGGATCTCATTTTAATTAAAGCAGTTAATTTGTTCGTTTTCTGACACAGAGGGGTGTGCATTACATTGGGTTCTCCCCCCCACCCCAGTTATTTGCTAATATCATTTTAGCACCCTCTAGAAGATTACAAGCCAAATTCCTATTTACTTTCCTGACACAGTCTCTCGGGCTGTTTAAGATGCCACTTTGTGAAGCGTAAGACAAAGAATGCCTGCTGCGTTGCCTTCCATTATTTATAATCTCTCTCTACCCCACACAACCTCTGGTTGTTACATCACCACAAAATGTGGCAAGAGGAAAAAACCTACCAACCTAACACACCCTTACTGAGCATTTCTCTTACTGGTAGTCACATGTTACATAGGTCTAGTACTTAAAATATAAGTATTTGGAAATATGCAATACAATACAACTGGAATTGGGTGCTAATTCCTGTCGACTGTAGACTTGCTGAGAAAGCTAGGTTCCCTGCCACGTATGTGAAATGGCTCTTATGCTAAGGTTACCAGATTTCAATGAATCTGGGGACACTTTTCAATTTCAGTGGATTTTGTATGGGGACTGATGTGTAAATCCGGGGACTGTCCCCGAGAAATGGGGACCTCTAGTAACCTTACCTTATGAAAATTGCAAGAAGAATGGAAAATGGAGAAACTAGTTCTCAAAAGTGCCAATGCTTTATATATATATATATATATATATATATATATATATATATATATATGTTTTTTATTGAAATATTTTCATGGATAACAAAGGTACATACAATATCTCTGTTTTCAATTCATAGAGTCCCTTCTACAGGACGATTACATTTGATGTGAGAGACTGCTGTCATAGGAATTGTGAGGGGGCAGGGGCAGGGGCAGGAGAGAGATAAAGATAGTGTTTTTATTGCATTTCCCTAAAAATTCCTTCAGGACAGCTTGCAAGAACAATACATATACAATAGCAACAGCAACAACATCATCATCACAAAAAAACTGCAACACAAATATTGATACCAAAATCGGCATTGGACAAATCTTAACTTAAAAGCATAAAAATGTGAACCCAGGGAAGGTCTGTTTCATTAAAACAGCATTTGGCGTCTATTGAAAGCCAATTTTCTCAGGTGCCTGTTCCAAATTATGGGCACCACCACCAGAAAGACCCTGTCTCTTACACCAGAGATAGGCAACATGCTGCTCTTCAGATGCTGTGGACTACATCAAGATCGCTCGAACTATCCCAAACTAGCACAGTGTTCTTCAACCTTGGGTCCCTGGATGTTGCTGGACTACAGCCCCCATCATCCTCAGCCAGTTTAGTCAATAGTCAAGGCTCATGGGTGTTGTAGTCCATCAACATCCTGGAACCCAAGGTCAAAGGTCGTTATTTATGTCAGCATATGAGGTTTTTTGAAGTTATGCTTTATATATAATGGTATTAGTAGATAATTCATGGCTAAACTGTAGATATGTCCTCCTGTTATTAAACAAAGCAGGAGTTTGATCAGGGTTCTGTAGTGTAGTCCAATCATGGTGGTTGTGAGTGGGGGAAAAACCTCTTCATTTTTTTCTCTGGAGAAGTCCATAGTGCTTTGTTTGCCTCAGGCTTCTGCCTTTCATTTGCTCAGGCTCAGTAAGGAAGACAGCCAACTTCTTAAAGCACCTTCGGCTGAGAGATAAAAGCCCCACCCACCCCACCGTTTATTACATCTGGCTTGAGCACCTCCATGAGCCTGGCTGAATTATATCCATATTAACAGAACTCGCCAGAGCCTTGGGCTGTTTTTGTCTGGAATGGCTCGGGAATGGCTTTCAGTGCCCATTTGTAATGCTGCCTCATTTGGTACGTTCTTCTTAGAAATCCCTTCCTCTATCGGGGCCAATTCAGACATCTTCCAAATGGCTTCAGAGAAGCAATTGCTGTGAGCGTGCTATGTATTCCGCCCCCCCCAGTGCATTTCTACAGCATCTTGAGAGAAAGCAGGCACCAATAGTAGTTAGAAGGCTTGCGTAGTCCCTGCTCAGTGATACCGAAGCAGGCAATTTAGTGGACGCCTTTTGTAATTGCCCAATTAACACAGTCGTAATGCATCTAATAACAAAGCTTGTCCACCCTCGGTTCACTATTAACTTGGGTAGCACTTCGTACTTGTATATCTTCCCTCCAAGGACCCATAATAACTTTGGGAAATGGCTGGTTTGACTTCACGTTTAAGAGGCCATGGAGCCACTATTAACTTTAAAAATGGAAGATCCATCATCACTGATTTCCCACTTCATGTCTAGTTGCGTGCTCAGTGCCCTGGCTTGGAGAGCTATGCTGCTTGACCTCAATATAACTAGAACTCTCTCCAGTGCCGATTGCTTTGTAATCAAACTTCTTCTGCCACAATCATTTGCCTTTCAGCATCAAAAAGTAAATGGCCATGAACTCAACTTACGATAACTAAGGAAGTTTCTGTTGTCCCGATTCAGCAGCAGAGCTCCGTCGTAGTAGAAGTGATTCTGCTTATCCGTCTCCTCCTCCACCAGCACAAAAGCAGTCCTTTGAAACAGGCACTTGCCTCGTTGCCTATAGCAATTAAAAATGGTCTCCAGGCAACCAGCCAAGAGATGCTTTGGTAAATGGGAAAGGGTTGGTTTATTGTCTTTTTCTCTATTGCTGCTGAAGTGCTACAAATGAAACTAGGCAGCAACACTTTTTTTATGGGGTAGTAACTGTTGTGAAATCACTTGCAAGGCTGCACAAAGAAAGAAAAGGTTGGATGTGGAAAGACAATGCAGAGGACTGTGACAATATTGATCATTGTAGAGGAGGAGGAAGCCTGTCCCCTCCAAGCGAAGGTACACCACTTCTTGCTTTTCCTTTTAGCTCCTGAAGCAAATGCGTATATATGCATTGGGGTAAAGTAGGTTGCCTCTGGACAGCAAAGATGGCATGCTCTTTGTCATTAGTTTGCACCTGTAGGCAATTCTGGAAACGAGAAGGAAGCTTTCCTTCCCTAAACCAGGGATGAGGAATTTTTGGCCCTCCACATGTTGATGGACTACAACTCCCATCATCCCTGACTGACCACTGGCCATGCTGGCTGCGGCTGATGGGAGTTGTGGTCCTGCAACATCTGAGGTGGCCACAGGTTTCTCACCCCTGCCCTAAACAAATGAATGCCTTAAACCCTTAGGCCCTTGTTCCTCAAAATTGTTGTTGTTGTTGTTTAGTCGTTTAGTCGTGTCCGACTCTTCGTGACCCCATGGACCAGAGCACGCCAGGCACTCCTGTCTAACACTGCCTCCCACAGCTTGGTCAAACTCATGTTAGTAGCTTCGAGAACACTGTCCAACCACCTCGTCCTCTGTCGTCCCCTTCTCCTTGTACCCTCAATCTTTCCCAACATCAGGGTTTTTTCCAGGGAGTCTTCTCTTCTCATGAGGTTCCTCAAAATACCTCCACATATTTCCCAGTCCCTCACAAATAAGTGTTGCTTTCCCCTTATGGTGACAGGTATGCCTTTGGGTGCCAGGTGGCGGCATGCAACTGTGAAGCAACATAGTAATAGTAACAGTATTAGTAGTAATAAAATTGTTTGTATCCCGCCCACCTGACTGGGTTGCCCCAGCCACTATGGGTGGCTTCCAGCATATACAGAAACATAATAAATCATCGGACATTAAAAACTTTCCTCAGTAGCAGGACATCTGTTTTGCATGGCAGAAGGTCCTAGGTTCAATTTCCAGTATTTCCAGGTCAGGCTGGGAAAGAAGCCTTCTAGAAGAGCTGCTGCCAATCAGTGTAGACAATACTGAGGTCAATGAACTTGATGCTCTATTAAAGCATGATTATTGCCTGCCACCAACTAGAAAATCTGCTGTTTGTGGGCTTCCCAGAGGCGCCTGACTAGTTACAGTGGGAAATAGGACCCTGTTTTAGTTGGACCTCTTGGTCTAATCCGGCAGATCTCTTCTTATGCTCAGGGTTCCATCAAGTGACAATAGTGTGTGATTGGCAATTCCTGTGATGGGGCTGTCATGCAGTCAAATGCACACATTCAAAGAGGTGACTTTCTGTCTACCCCTTCCCTAAGTTGATGCATCCCAGATTATTGTCTCTAGAATTCCCATCAGCCACAGACAACATACTGCACAGCTGCACTGGCTAGAGCTAATGGGAGTCGTAGTCCAAAACATCTGGAGTGCACCAGGTTGGGGAAGGCTGGTCTACCCTTTGACAAAACAAAGGTGGGGACGAAATCTCAGTGGTTTCCAATGAGTGGCCTCCCCAGATCAGCAGGCGTCATAAGCAGGCAAGCTAATGTGTCTGCCTCCCAGAGCTGTGAGTGGTAAGAGGAGGGAAGAGGTGAGAAAAGTCAAGAGGAATTCAAGCTTCTGTGTTGCCTGAGTTCTGTGTTGCCTGAGTTGCCAAAAACTGCATTAAGCTGCAATATTGATAACTGAGGGCTGATCTAATGATCTCGGAGCCTTCCTCTTCCAAGATTAGAACCGATCAGGGCAAGCGCTGGAGTTCAGAATGCCATTGCCATTCTTCTTTATAATGATGAAAATTGCTTTAGTTCCTCTCCTTCCATCAGCATAAGAGCTTTGAGCGCCAAGGCTCCGTTTTCATGAACAAATGCAAGCAGTTCACCTTTGGCGTAATTGAACAAAGAGGACCACATACGTCCTTTATCTAGGTTTGCTGGGTAATCAGAAGTGGGAGAGAGAGAACTGATAATATTTGCAGAATAGCAAATATTCAGTTCCGTGCACATGATTATGATTAAGGCTTAAAGACGGTTAGGCGTGCTTCAGCCAACTGAGTTCGTGAGCTGTCCCTTATCAGTGACTGGGTTGCTATGATGGCACAGGTTCTTAAAACATTAGAGATCAAAACACTGCCCCTTAACTGAGCTTATGTGATGCTATGGAATGTTTACAGATACTCTTACTGCTGAGATGGAAAATTCAACCTGAAAGGGCCACATGGGGAGAATAGACTGAATTGGAGTGATTCAGAGCCAAACATCCATTGGTCTGAGCACAATCATTAGAGACCTGAAAGAATCTTACTTACGGTAATTTGGCGTTTGTCTGGTCCAATTTGCAGCTAGCTAGCAAAGTAGCCATTATATCTCATCTGACATTCAGACAAATCTGTCCCCTGCTCTGATTTTATTTTGCTTATTTTCAGAATTTATATGACGGCCTTCAATAAATCTTTCTGAGGTGCTTTATGAGGGAGAAAGCATTACATTGTAAAACCACAAAAGGCAAGTTATAAAACAGAAACGATAATAAGATTAAAACTTGCAGATGTTAGAAGGGGAACTAGAAAGGTTTTCGCCTGGTGCAGAAAATTTGTTAATATCGGCAACAGGTGAGCTTCTCTGGAGAAGGCAGGGTAGCATATGCAAGAAGGTCCTTTCTGTACTCTCCTCCCAGTCCTTTTATTTAAAACCAAAATTTAGGTTCAACAGCATGCTTTTCCAAAACAGAAATGATTTACAACCCAGCCATGATGCATGTTTGTGTGGAGTAAGCCTCAGTGAATTCAAAGGGACGTACCCTAGCAAATGCATAGTATTACAACCCCATTGAATCCATTTTAGCTGTGTACATGGCACTATAGTAGCTAGAATAGCAGGGGAAGTTGGATCCAGACTTAAATTCCTTTCAGATATGAAGCTTGGCGGGTGTTTTTGGTAAGTCACCAGCTCTCGCTGTAACCTAAGGGAGAGTTTGTGAAGCTAATTCAGCTCTGAGTAAGAAAGCAAGGCAAGATTTAAATGTAAGTAAAAAACAAGTTGATGTTTCCTGTGTGGCTTTTCGTCATTCTTTATATGGAGGTTTCTGCTAATAATTTTTGTTGGGTGCCCCCCCCCATAACAGAAACGAGTGCTATCTTTTGCAATGACTAAAGAACCAGGGTCCTGTAATTGTGTTGTTCCCTCTGATGTTTTTTTTTGCTGCTTGTTTCTGTCCCCACACCCCATTTTCACTTTGATAAAAATGACAGCATGCCAACAGCACAATCCTAACCATTGGGCTACTAGAAGTACGGTAAGTCTGAATTGAATTCAGTGGGGCTTGCTCATTTGGTAAGTAGGTTTAAGACTGCAGCCTCTGTTTATTTTTTGTTTTTCTCTCTGTGTGTAACCAAGAAAGTGAAATTGAATCACTCCTGAGTGTGCATCAACTAAACACGTGAACTGTCCCCTTAGAAAAGCATTGTAATCTGAGCGTCTGGGAGGAAATGAAATGGATAGTAAATAAGCAGACATGCTTTTTAACTTTTCTTCAGTTTCTTCCAGTGGTGGTGCAGCGCTGAACAACGCTTCCTGTGTAGCATTTGATCAGTGATGGCTGTTGGAAATACACAAGTCCTGTTTGATATTGTGGCCGTATATGTATGTGTGTGTGTAGGTGTGAGTGAGTGAGTGAGTGAAATCTCCTCAAAGGATGCCTTAGGTCTAAACTAGATTCAGTATCAAACGTTTCTTTGCAGCATGCATGTTAAAATCGCTCCCCTGAAGCTGCTGTTTGTATTGGGAAGAAAGCTCCCATGGGCACCAATTTGGTGTTTTTATATTGTCAGTCACCCTCAGATGGAAGGCAGTATAGAAAACAGAATTAATAATAATAATAATAATAAAACTTTCCTTCCAAAGCAATTTGCAGCTTTGAAGGAGCCATTTTGAACTTTCCAAAGAAAGTGTTAAACTCCTGTCTCCCAACCTCACTGCGGCTTTTTGCATTTTCTAGAACGTGCTGTTCAAATGTAAATACACATTTGATACTGTGTCTACTTTGATCCTGAAGGCCCAGATTGTCCAAAGCAGCCACAAAAGATTTCAGAGCATAGAGATGAGCCAATAACATAGGCCCCTGGTCATCATACATGTTTGTAAGATGGTGTGTAAAGTTTCTGAATTCATGTTTTGCTTAATGTGCGTGCTAATGCCTATTCCTACATGTAGAAACACCAACCCTACTGACCTAAATAGGGAACTGGGCACTTTAAAAGATGTCTGTATGTGTAAAGTGTTTAACCACCTTTTGTGTAGCTCGGTTTTGAAGAAAGACTTGAAACCAGTTGTTTTGCCCCATTCCTTTCAAGCCAAGAGACTACAGCGCAATACATCAGATCACACCTCATGCTGGCTCCAAGAGAAACACAATGATGGACATGAATACATTAGCCATGAACATCAGAGCCATCGTCTTCCATTCTTAAGAAGCAAATGGGGTCATTCATGGTCCAGACTTTGCTCATTGTTGTGAGATGAAATTGCTGAAGAAGGATGCTACAGATACTTGAATACAGGAGTACCCATTTGCTCCTCAATATCGCCGGGTAGCAAAATGTACTTGATATTAGATGCCAGTTAAATATGCTAAGGAAAACTGTTATGCAACAAGATCATCAAAAAGCATGTACAATAGTAATTTTATATTTATGCATGGGATGCATATGGTATATTTTATTAAAGATCTTAGTGACCCATCATCGGATATCATTTTCTTGTTCGTCTCCACTTTTACACTGGGAAAGCTTAGGAAGTTCTGTTGGTTGGCATGTTGGAAGCATTTCAAAATCCCGTTGCGCAGTTCTTTCGTTCAGACCACCCAAAATATCACAAAACTATGAGCAAGATTTTGAGTTCTCCAAAACCCTCCATCAAACCGAATGTTGAGGGGGAAACGGTGTGGATGAGGGAAGGAAAGGGAGAAAAACCTGGGTTGATGTCCACAGTGGAGGAGAGAACAGACTTACAGAGCAATCATATGCATATTTAGGCAGAAGAAATCCTGTTGAGTTTAGGAAGGCATAGTCACAAATAAGTGTGATTAGGATTGCTGCCGTATTTGGATGGTGGTCTATTATGGGGATCTGCTGGCCTCAGACCCAGCCAGCAAGATGTCAGGTATAATGAGAGCTGTAATTAAACATCTGGAGGGCCCATCCCTGCTGTAAGCACTCTGGTCTTATTTCCTTTTTAGGTCAAGGTTTATGAAAGCGAGCCTGCCATTATAATATGGACAGCAGTGCCTCTTGTCCTAAGGAAGCATTATCCATCTCCAAGCCTACTTAGGTCAAAAGTGGTCCTCCACATGTTGCAGAACTACAGCTCTCATCAGTCGATGGGAGTTCTGTCCTCCACTGCACTTGGACACCCTTAAAAATAGAATAAAATAGTGATTTGAACTGTCAGAACAAGGAGTGGAAGGAAATACCCAGTCGTTTGTGACCCTCACTTCCATACTTTTAAAGAAATAACTCATCCAACTGCATTTAGTTCCAGCCTGTGGGAACCAGCTATCTCAACCTAAAATTAGAAGAACTATATTTAAATGCAAAATGCTGAAACAGCTGGCTGTGGCGTAATTCTAGCCAGTTAAATAACCAGTTCACTTTATTTTAAATCCTAATAATAGAATTAGTGGAGAAGTGTAAATTCCAAAGGGTAGCTACATTTGAGTCCATGTATTGTTTTAGAAACTGCAAATTAAGTCGGTTCGCAATGTGGTACAATTTTAAAGCTGCAATGCCAGATCTACATGGCCATCGGCCAACAATTCCAAGGGTTACCCTTGAACTTGATGAACTTGGCTTTACCATTTATCGTATTTTTCACTCCATAGGACACACCTTGTTTTAGAGGGGGAGAACAAGGGGGAAAATTCTCCCCCTCTCTGTGCAGCGCCCCTTCAGTGAAGCGGCAGGAGAAACGGAGCCCCTTCCATTTCTCCTGCTGCTTTGCTGAAGGGGTGCTGCGCAGAGAGGGGGAGATTTTTTTTTCTTGTTCTCCCCCTCTAAAACAAGGTGTGTTCAGTGCATTCAGTCGCCTTCAGTGAAGGCAACCTGAAGCCTCTGGAGAGTGAGGGGTCAGTGCGCACCAACCCCTCTCGCTCTCCAGGCTTCAGTGAAGGCAACCCGAAGCCTCCGGAGTGCGGCGGGAGTTCCTGCTCTCCAGGCTTCAGCGAAAGGAAGCCGAAGCCTCCAGAGCGCAGTGGGAGCTCCCGTTGCACTCTGGAGGCTTCAGGCGGCTACCTTGGAAGCCTGGAGAGCGAGAGGGGTCTGTGTGCACCAACCCCTCTCGCTCTCCAGGCTTCAGTGAAGGCAACCCGAAGCCTCTGGAGCTCCTTTCGACCTGCTCCCCGGGGCTGGCGGTGGGGGAAGCCCGGCTTTCCCCCACTGCCAGCCCCAAAGAGCAGGTTGGGGAGCAGCGGAAAGGCTGTGCGCAGCCTTCCCGCTGATCCCTGAGCTTGTGGGGCAGGCGGGGGAAGCCCGGGTCCCCCCCCCCAGCCCCAGGGACCACACATTTGCTCCATAAGACGCACAGACATTTCCCCTTAGATTTTAAGAGGAAAAAAGTGTCTTATGGAGCGAAAAATACGGTAAATGGAGGAGGTTTCTTCTTCTTTTAACCAGGGCTGGGGAACTGGATCCAGTCAGTGGCTCGGATCCTGACCTCCCCCTGCCCACAAAGGCCACTTCGACAGGTTGGTGGGGCCAGACCCCCTGACAGCCTCTAGCAGTTCTTTGATCTGTAGAAATTAACAAATGAAGGGGTTTTTTTAAGCAGCATCAAGATAAGATTTAACCCTCTTCTAGTTTTTTTAAAATGTATTTTTATTAAAGATTTTCTTGATTTACAAAGGTGCGTGCAATATATTTTTTATGTAACTTTTTTTATAAATCGGTTTCATTTGTTGAGACATTAGGAAGAAAAGGGGAAGGAGGGGGGAAAGATGAGTGGGGGTGGGGTCGGGTGGCAATGTTTCTATTCTACTTAATATATGTGGGGTTTTGTGTCAGTGTTGCTTGTGCAGGTTCTCTCCTGTTCACTTGTGTTCCTTTGGTGGTGAGAGAGGTTGGGGTTTGCCTAGGGTGTGACTGTTCCATTTGTGATTGGCTGTGGTGGTCTTTGTTTTCATGTGTGAGTGGGGTGTGTGTGTGTTTTGGATCAGGTTAGCCCTATGGATTTGTATGCTGTTGGTGGATTTTTGTCATTGTCTTGTTGGGTTGTGTATGTGATAAAGGGGAGCCATACTGGGGTGAAGGCGTCTTCTTCTATTTGTCCCTGTGTCAGTTTCAGTTTATTGGTTAATTTTTCTAGTAGGGCTGTTTCCCATATTATTTGGTACCATTGGTCCATGCTTACTCCTGACAGGTCTCTCCAGTGTCTGGTTATGATGTTTCTGGCTGCTGAGAATAGGTGGGTTATGAGTTCTTTGTGGAGTAAGTGGGCATTGTTGTATTGGAAGATGTTTAGTAGGACCAATTCTGGGGTGATTTTAAGCAGATATATAAAAGCAAATATA